GCCCAGCGAAGAGATACCACTTCTCGCCCACGCCAGCGTCGTGGGAAAACAAATATGCCGTGTGTGGGCCACTAGTGCTGGGTTGCGTGGCGGTGAGTTGACTCTCGCGAGACAGCAAAGCAGGAGGGAGGCAAAATCGGTGTTTGGGCACAGCAGGGCTGAGGCAGCCAGTGCAATTTTGATTTTTTTGTTTTTTTGGGTTTTTTTTGTTTTTTTGAGGACAGAGTCTCACTTGTGCTGCCCAGGACTTTAGAGTGGCCATGCAATCTGCCTCACTCACAACCTCCATCCTGGGCTCCAAGCAATCTCCTGCCTCAGCCTCCCAAGGACTGGGAACTACAGGCATCCGCCACCATTGCCCTGCTCATTTATTTTCTATATATATTAGTGGCATTAATTCTTTTCTATTTTTAGTACGAGACAGGGTCTCGGTTCTTGCTCAGGCTGGTTTCGAACTCCTGACCCATCAAGCCATCACCGCCTTCGGCTCCAGAAGTAGCTAGATTACAGGGGGAGGCACCGCGCCCGGCCCGCCAGTGCAATTTTGAGGATGTCTGGTTCATAATTCAACCTGGCTCAGTAACCCCCATGGGACCCGGGCTCTGTTTGGGTGGCGTGAAGGGGCGTTCACGGAAGCAGGGACTGGCTCCGGGCTGGATGTTGCGGAGAGTGGGAACGACTCCATGATGCGGGGTCCACAATAGTGACTCATTTTAGCCAAGAAGAGGACGGGTTTGGCCTGGTTGCCATCTGTGCTTTGACACAGGTTTCAGCTGGGCTGACTTTGTCTCTCAGACAGGGGACCTCTCTGAGGCGGGGGTCCTGCTGAAGGGCGTGTGTCTAAGGGCAGAGGGGCCTCCCACCAGCTTCCGGATGCCCTGGGCAGCACTCCTGCCTGGAACCTCCTTCCTCACATCAAAGGAAACACAAGAGGAAGAACCTAAGTCCGGTCTGTCAAGGCCGCAGGACACCTAGGCGACAGCTCTTGGCAAGGGGTCGGGCAGCAGGGCCCGGCCGGAGCACAGGCCCTTGACGACACTTTCGGAGGTGGCTTGTCCCAGGGGTGCGCCAGCGACTCCAGACAAAGGCCTGCATGAAGACAGCGCTCCACGGTCCGCGCTTGTCCCAGGACTTTTGCTGGAGCGCGGTCTGGAGGAGACAGGCTCTGGGGACCCGCGCGCCCTGGCGGGAGAAGGCGAGCTACAGGCGGGAGCCGGTGCGCGAGCAGAGGCCTCCGGGGTGGAATAAATGCGCGCGGGAGCCGGAGTGCCGGACGCCCTGGAGACGCCCCTCGACTGCGCCTTGCATGGGGCACGCTGGCCAGGACGGGGAAGGGCCGCCTGGACGGCCCCCCAGATATGGGGCAGGGGACAGGGCCCTCATCCGCCTCCCCCACAGCGAATCGCGCAAGGAAACAGGAGACCCCGGCTGGTTTTGCGGTTTTATTGGCGCGTCCGTGCCGCACCGCGGCGCGCCGGCCGGCGGGGCTCAGCGCACCTGGGCCAGGTTGTGCTTCTTGTACAGCAGCGCCCGCCTCTTCTCGCGCTCGCGCACGAAGGCGCGCAGCCGCGCGGTGGGGAAGGTCACGGGCGCGGGCCGCGAGCCGGCCGGGCCCTCCTCGGTCAGCCACGGGCACTGCAGGCAGCTGGACGCGCAGGGCCGGCCCCTGGAGCAGAGCGCGGGTCAGCGGCCCGCGGGGCGGGGCGGGGGCGGGGCACGGTGGGGGAAGGGCGGGGCGGGGCACGGTGGGGGACCGGTTGGGGAAGGGCAGGGTGGGGGACCGGTGGGGGGAAGGGCGGGGCAGGGGCGGAGCACGGTGGGGGACCGGTTGGGGAAGGGCAGGGTGGGGGACCGGTGCGGAAGGAGCGGGGCGGCGCCTCACCAGGGCTGGGCGCACAGCGTGCTGCGCAGGAAGGCCACGGCGCCCCCGGACAGCCCCGCGTAGCAGCGGCTCAGCCGGACCAGCCCCTTGCGCAGGCCTTTCTGCAGGTCGCGCGTCCACTCGCTGCTCACCGGGTACTCGGCGCTCAGCCTGCACGGGTCGGGGCGCAGGGCGCTTTGAGGTTACCCTCAGATGGATGGAGTGTGGGGACTCTGAGGTCACCTGGACGGATGGGGGCGCCTGCCCTACCCCCACCAGGCCTCCCCCCAGACACTAGGAGGACTCACATGATGAAGGCCGTCACACCTATGGCCCAGATGTCTGTCTGCGGAACAGCCCCCTGGCCCTCCAGGAGCTCTGGAGCTGCGGAGAGGCACAGGTGGAGGACACAGGTGTGTGGGTGCAGGTGCGAGGCCGGGTGGTTTGCAGTGGAGCTGGGAGGGGAGGGCAGGCCCGGTGGACAGGGGCTTCCTCTCACCCCCCACAGGTGAAGGCCCCCGCCCCCACACACGCACCCATGGTCTCCAGGTAGTCCTTGAACCTGTCCGAGGGCAGCACCTTCTCCTGGGTGAGGCTCTGGGCGCTGCCCAGGTCCACGACCTTGAGCAGGTTGTACTCGGTGACGATCATGTTCTCGGACCGCAGGTCCAGGTGCAGGATGCGCTGCGCGTGCAGGTACTGGGCGGCGCTCAGCACCTGCCACAGGTAGTCCTTCACCTCGGACTCCGTGTAGGACGCCCTGGGGGCAGACACTGCTCAGCCGGGCGGCGACCACGCCACACACAGGGCGAGGGCTGAGACCAGCACCGGCGGCGGGAGGGGCGCCCTCACCTCTCGGCCAGGCAGGGCAGCAGCTCGGGCCCCGAGCACAGCTCCAGGACGAGCACCAGGTGCCGGGGGCTCAGGAAGGCCGCGTGCAGCTGGGCCAGGTGCGGGTGGCGCAGGCCCTTGAGGGCCTCGTATTCGCACAGCACGGCCGCCTTGTCCTCGGGCCGGTAGGGGACGATCTTGGCGGCCAGCGCCCGCCCGCTGGCCTTCTCCCGGCACTGCCGCACCACGCTGAAGCGGCCCCTGGGCGAGGGGCGCCGGTCAGTCTGGTCAGTGCCCCCCAGCCCCTAAGGCGGGACGGGTCCCAGCACCGGCCCCCACGCGCCCGCCCGCCCACCGGCCCGCCCGGCACCTCCGGATCTGGGTCTGGAAGCTGAAGGTCTGCGTGCTGGGGAGAGGCTGGGCCGGCCGCCCCCCGCCACTCTCCTCCTCGGAGGCTGTGGGTGAGAAGCAGTGAGGGGTGGAGGGCACGTCCCAGAGCCCGGGCTCTCCCCACCACCCCCATCACCCTTTCCCAGGCACCCGGACAGAGAGCCTGTTAGAGCTCCCACGGGCTCCGACCTCTCCTTCCTCGGCCACTGGGGCAGGGGCGGGGAGAAGGGGGCACAGCAGGTGGAACAAGCTGTCACACCTCACCCCTGCCTGAGCCCACAGCAGGCATTACTGATCAACCCCAGCACTCCCCCAGCAAATCCAGGGGAGGCACCACCAACACTCGGCACGCAACCGGATGGACTTGAGTGACCCCCAGCAGGTGCAGGAATGCAGGTGAGTGAAGGGGGCTGAGAAGGACCCCTGAGTGTTCAGGTCTCAAATGCTGAGCCCAGGAGCAGCCTTCTTTCTCCCAAAAGGCAGTGGACGGCTGGGGCTGTGGCCAGAAGCGGGCTCCATCCTCCCACCGCCGGCCCGCATGGGAGCGCTCACCCAGGTGGCTGGGCCCTCCCAGGAGCACCTGCTCCGAGGGGCTGCTGTAGGGGCCCATTCCCGCCTTGCTGACGCAGGCAGTGCGGAACGCGTACGCGCCGCCCCGGGACAGCTTGCCGGTGAGGTAGCAGCAGTCGAAGATGTCAGATGCCAATGTGGTCCAGCTGCCACCTGGGCCACACGGAGCATGTGAGGGCAGCGAGCCCGTCAGGGAGCTGAGGAGGAGAGACCCTTCCCCGAGCCCCCATGGGCGCAAGGCAGGCCGGGCACCTCCCCCACGTGGACCCTGGGCGGGGTGGCCACAGCCTGGGGGCAGGGCCCCTGTACCTTCCAGGCTGCACTGCACGGTGTAGGTCACGGGGCCGCAGGACTCCACGGGCTTCCAGACCAGCAGAACCCCGTCCGCACACACCTCCCCAATGTCCGGGCGCGGCGAGGACGAGGGGCGCTCTGCAGGGGCCACCCGGCGGTCAGCGCTCGGGGTCGATCCCCGCTGGGCCTGCCTCCCCCTCAGCAGCTGCCGGGGTTCCCGCCCCCCCCCTTCCTGGTCATTCCGGGGTCCAGGCCCGGCACCTCTCCCGGCGGGGACTCAGAAGGAGCCCGCCCCGCAGGGCACCCTCCCTCCCAGGCTCGGGGCCCGGCCGCAGCCCGTGGAGGGTCCCAAGCTCTGGTGGGAGGGCCGTGGCCTGCCCGCACCATCTGCCCGCAGGGTCCACAGGGTCAGGCATCAGGCGGGAGGGAGGGCCCAGAGCGAGGCCTGCAGCCCCTTCTTGACTGCCCCAGAGACACTCCCTGGGCGCTGTGTTTTGAGCTTTGGGCTCAACTTTGAGCAAGATAGGAAACAGGAAACGGCCTCCCCCGGTGGGCTGCAGGGATGGGCGCAGGAGCCTTGCGAGGAGCCAGAGCCCACCTGGCTCTCCCAGCAAACAGACAACGGCCAGGCTTCCACCTGTGGTGGAGCGGGGACAGCGGGCTCCAAGCCGTGTCTGCGTGGACAGGTGCAGGGCCTCGTGCCAGCCCAGGGCGGCCCGGCCCACCTGATCTCAGGGTCACCTTCTCAGGCCTCCTTCGGCCCTGCCTGCCGCGTGCGGCCCTGGGCCCCTGGGGAACACGGCTGTCCCAGAGACGTGCACGCCCCGGCGGTCAGTGCTCGGGCACTGATGCATTCCCCGGGCCCCGGGCGGAGGCTGTGGCTTAGACCAGGTCCCAGAGCAGGTGAGGCCTCCCGGCACCCGTGTGGCACAGAGTGGGACCCTCGGTGCGGCCCACCCACCTGCCTTCCGCAGGACGCCCGTAGTGGCCGCCGAGCCCAGCGCGTTGCTCACGCTGCACGTGTACACGCCCAGGTCCTCCGCGGCCACCACCAGGATGGTCAGCAGTTGGAAGTTCTTCAGGGTGGAAGAGATGAGCAGGCGGCTGCTGCTCTCCAGGGCGGCCCCGTCTGCAACAGCACAGCGCGGGCCTCAGTTTCCCTCGGGCAGCGACAGCACCCCAGGAGCCTGCGGTGACCGCTACTTCCTCCTGGCCCCCAGCCCCCAGGACAGCTTCTCACCTTTGCTCCAGGTGGCCTGGGCGGCCGGCTGGGCCGATACCTGGCAGGCCAGCGTCACCGACTGGCCCAAGACCACAGTCTCATCCGAGAGCTCCCGTAGGAACAATGGCGCTGGAGAGAGAGCACCGTGAGCCATCGGGGTGACTTCCAGGCCCCAGAGCTCGGCCGGGACCCACGGTGGGGATGCTGGGAGAAGCCCCACCCACGTCTGCCTGGGACATCTTCTAAACCACTGCCTCCTCCAGGAAGCCCCCCAAGACTGTTCAGCCTGCCATGCACATTGGAGCCCCTCACCTGGGCTCGAGCCCCTGGAGACCTAGCTTGGCCCTCACCCGTCTGGGCACCATGGCGGGTGGAGGCAGAACCCTGGGAGGCTGGGAACCTCTGTCGTCGTGGGCCACTCACCTCGGTCCCTGCTCTTCAGACCCAAGAGCCCAAAAGAAGCGAGGCCTGGCTTCTTCCTGGGGGGCCCCTCCTTTTCCAGACCTGCAGGAGGAAGAGGCCCCAGGGAGGTCACAGCTGGGAGGCCTGGCCGCTCTGGGCAGCACCTGTCGCCTCCCGCTGCAAAGACCCCAAACAGCCGCCCACCGCCCACTGCCCGGACTTGCAGGTCACAAGGGCAGGGCCGGGACCCCAGGGGGCTTTGCAGGGAGCTGGAAAAAAACACACGGCACAGGCCACCCCATCCCTGTCCCCTGGCCCAGGGCCGGGCAGGGTCTGCTGTCGGGGAAGGTTTAGGGTCAGACAGGGTCTGGGGTCAGGAAGGACTCGGGGTCAGGGAGGACTGAGGATTGGGAGGACCTGGCCCCGTCAGATTCGGGCCCCAGGCTGCATCCCCGCAGCGGGCTCCATGGCCCCTCCAGGTGCGCTGGGTCCTGCAGTGGGGTTCTAGGGGCCCTGTGGGAAGGGGCGTCGGGCTGTAGAGGTCATCCCGGGACTCGCCCTGTGGCCCGTGACGGGGCCCAGGAAGGGGGGCTTCCCGCTGTCACCCAGGGGGGAGGGGTCACCTTCAGGCCTGCCCTTCAGGATCCTTGAGATGTGGGCCACGGAGGCCTTCACCCTCTGCCGCAGCCCCAGCTCGGCCGGCTCGTCCAGCGGCAGGTACGTCCCCGGGAAGTGGAGGAGACCGCGGGTGGGGGAGGACCACTTGCGCTTCCTGCCTGCGGCAGCCCGGACCTCCATGTCCTCCGGCTCCTCTATGATCTGCAGGCCCGTGGGGGGGCCCGGCTCGCCCGGCCAAGGCCATGCGGCCTCTGGGAACTCCGCCAGCCCCACCCCGGCCTCTTCCCCGGGCGAGGGCGGCTCCTGCTGCAGGGGCCGGGGCACCCTCCTGAAGATCATGAACTCGAAGGGCAGGTACTTGATGTCGTACAGGTCCGAGAGGTTGAGGTAGGCGGGGTCCACCTCGGAGATGTCCAGGGAGATGGTGTCGGCCGCCTCCGCGTCGCCGGACAGGTCCCGGATCTGCACCAGCGACACCTCCCCGCTGTCCTCCCACACCGCCAGCTCCGGGGAGGCCCGGGAGGGAGGCCCGCTGGCCTTGCGCACGGGCTCTGCGCCGGCCTGGGGCGGTGGCGGGCTCTCAGCCCCGGCCTCGTCCTGGTCCTCTGAGGACTGGGACTCGGCCCAGGCCATCCGGGCCCACATGGGGCCCTGGCCCAGCATGCCGCCCGCGTCCCCTCCGAAGGCGAAGGTGCCATAGCCCGACACGCCCTTGTAGCCCCCGCGCTGCTCCAGGGAGAACTTGCGCGTGGTCGCCTGCTCCTGGGGCCGCTGCAGGCTGGGCGTGGGGGGCGTGGAGTCCGGCAGGTCCGCGGGCTCCTGGGCGTCTGGAGAGGGGCCGGGCTGCGCGTCCGGCTGCGAGGCCGGCCCCCGGGGACCGCAGGGGCTGGGCTTCGGCCACGCAGGAAGAGAGAGCTCGTCCAGCCCTGCCTTGGAGTCGGGCAGGGGGCTTGCTGGGGACGGGGGCGCCAGGGGCTCTCCCGGGAAGAGGCCCGGGGGAGCCAGGGCCCCCGGGCAGCGTCCTGGAGGGAAGGAGCCAGGCGGCTGTGGGGTGACCGCGGGCGGCAAGCCGCAGCCCTCCTGGGGGGCAGAGCTCCACTCGGGGTGACTGGAGGGGCTGTCCTGGGACACCCCGGCTAGCTGAGCAGAGCCTGACTCGCTGCTAGCAGATGCAAAGAGCTGGGGCCCCCGCAGGGCCCCCTCGGGATGCCTCGTGTCCCTGGCAGAGCCCCCGCTGGCCACCCCCGCGGGGGCTGGGGGCGGGCACTGGCCCTGGGGGCAGGCCCCTGCGGAGGGGCTGGCGGTGCGCGGCGGGTCGTGGTCCGGGGGGCGGCAGCCGGGGCCGCCCTGGGCGCCTGAGCCGGGCGGCTGCAGGGCGGTCTCGGGGGGCGGGGCGCGGGCGGTGGGGGCGGCCGGCTCCTCCCCCGCCGCCTCCTCCAGCGCGCGGTGCTCCAGCAGCGGCTCGCGCAGGCCGGGCAGCGCCCCCGCGAAGTAGCCGCCCTTGAGCAGGTGCCGCCGCCGCGCCGGGTGCCGCCTGCCCCCCGCGGCCGCAGCGCCGGGCCCCGCGTCGCCGCCCGCCTGCTGCTGGTAGAACAGGCTGCGGATGACGCTGTGCCGGGGCACGCAGCCCGGGGCGCCCTGCGGCGACGCGGGAGGGGCGGCGGGGGCGGCGGGGGGCGCGCAGGCCTCCTCCTCCGGCAGGCTGGCCGAGGGCCGCAGGAAGCCGCGGGGGTGCAGCAGCGGCGAGTGGGCCACCGGGGAGGGCGGCAGCGACTTGGCCCGGGCGAAGGGCGCGAGCTCGCTGTCTGAGGACGAGGAGCTGGAGGAGCTGCTGGCGTCCGCGTCCGCGCGCAGGTGCCGCGCCACCCCCAGGGAGGGGCTGTCGGGCGGGCCCCGCAGCAGCTCGGGGATGGAGCGCATCACCAGGATGGACTTGTAGCTCATCAGCGAGCGCTGGGCGGCGGGGGGACGGAGGTGCGTCAGGGGGGCCTGGCCGGCCAGGCAGGGGCTGCCCACAGGGGAGACCCCGGGGCTGTCACTCCCCCCTGCTAGGCCCCCCACGACACACTCCCTCCTCACTCCGCACTCAAAGGAGCCTGGACCCGTCTCCCTGCACTCCCAGCCGGGACTGGAGCACAGCCAGCCCTCTGGGCCTCAGTTTCCCCTTCCCTGGCCTCCCGCGCCCCCTCCTAGAGGCGGGCACAGCTCACCTGCCAGCGACTGCGGGCCAGGAGGAACTTGAGCTGCTTGGTGTTGATGAAGTGGGCCTGGTCTGCCGGCACGGACTTCTGGGGGCGGGAGGGGGCGGCCACGTTGGGGGGAGACCCTGGGGAGCCCCCCCATGATGGAGGCCTCGCTGGACCAGCCCCAGCCCTGAGATCTCGGTGGGTCCAGGAAGCACAGCCCTCACCCCAGATGCCTGGGTGGGGCTGGTCAAAGGCCAGAGGTCAGAGGTGATGATGACTCCCTGCCTCCTCTGGCGGGGGAGGGGGTAAGTGGGGCAATGAAACGCTGTCCTGGCCTGGGGGTCCCAGGGCCCCCTTGCCAATCTGCAGAGACAATTGTCCTCTGGGCTGGGGGATAACAGGCCAGCCCCCATGGTCCAGGCAGGCCCCTGCCCTGCCTGGCCTCAGTTTCCCTCCCTGAACAGCATGGGGTTGTGCCCGAGCTGGGCCAACTCACCAGGAACCAGGAGTGGGCCAGGCACTGGGCGGCGCTGGGCCGGTCCCTGTGGGGGAGGACGGTGGGGTCAGGGGTCGGCTGGCCCCGGGTGGGGCGGGTGGGGGAGGGGCGGGCGAGCACGCACCCCGGGGCCCGCTGTAGCGTGGCCCTGATGAAGTCCTTGGCGTCCTCGCTGAGGTGGGCGGCCACAGGGCTGCTCCACGACACCCGCCCCTCCAGAACGTTCAGGAGGGTGGCACGGTCACTCTCGCCCGCGAAGGGGGAGGAGCAGGTCAGGCTGAAAGCAGGGGGGGAGGGCCCGGCCCTGAGGAGGCCCCGACAGGGACAGGCTCCCCACCTTCTCCCATCCAGCCCCAGAGCCACTGGCCCCAGGGGTGTGGGCTCAGCTTGGAGCAGGGACGGGCCAAGCCTGGGGTGGGGACCCGGGCTGGGGCTGGGGCTGGGGTCAAGGGTCAGCCTGCAGAGGAGATGCCAGGCTCAGTCTACACCGCCAGCACCCTGGGGGCAGTGGCAGGGGTTACAAGTGGCCCCTGGACACCCCCTGGGGGGGCCTTGTGACCTGGCGCGGCGCCCCTGGTGACAGGTGCTTGTGAGACACCCCAGGCAGGACCTCTTATCATCGGGGTTGGCCAGCCGCCTGTTCCCAAGATAGCGCCCCTCACCCACCTCTGCTCTGGGGCTGACCCCGGTGCACGTGGCCTCCCTGGGCCCACGGGCGGGGCTGGGGTGGGCTTTGGAGGAGGCGCTGGCGGGCAGGGCTCTGCTCACCTGAGGTAGGAGACGACACCCATGGCCCTGCAAGAGGAAGCCACACTCAGTGAGTGCCCTGGGCCAGGCCCGCAGGCAAGGGGTGTGGGGGAGCCCAGGGAGCGAGGAGGAGACCGGGGTTCAGACAGGCCCCCCTGGCCGGCCCCAGGGTGGAGGAGGGGCTGGGCCCAGCTGGCTCAGGGAAAGGCCTCCCTGGGAACCCACTGCCCGGCCGCCCGCCCCCCCCAACTCACCAGATGTCGGAGGCCTCGCTCACGGGGCTCTGCTCAATGATCTCGGGGGACACGAACTCGGGGGAGCCGTACTGGCTGTACTGCGGCTCTGCCGGGGTGATGGTTTGGGCGAAGCCAAAGTCGCAGATTTTAATGTCGTCCCGGGCGGGGTGCACCATCAGGATGTTGGGAGGCTGCCGGGCAGAGTCGGGGAGTGGGTGATGGCTGTGCACGGAGGGAGGTGACTCCTGGGGCTGCCAGGCCTTGGCGGGGACACCCAGGGCCTGTGGGGCCAGCGTGGGGTACACCGGGCAGGTTTGGGGACCTGCACCCCAGCCAGAGGGGCTGCTGGGAAGTAGTGAGCTCCCTCTCCCTGGAGGCAAGCAAGTGCTGTCAGGCGGCTGGGCTCAGCAGGCCGTCACCCTCCCAGCTGACCAGGCCCCGAGCTCTGGGGACAGGGGCTGGGGCGGGGGTACCTTTATGTCCAGGTGGAGGACGCCGTGGCTGTGCAGGTAGTGCAGCGCCTCCACCAGCTGCTGGATGTAGACCTTCACCTGCGGCAACCGTGGTGCTCAGGCGAGAGGCCCCAGCCGGCCCCCAGGGCCTCCCGCACCCGGGACCAACCCCCAGGTGGCCTGCAAAGCCCTCCCGAGCCCTGTGCGCCCTGAAGCTGAGACTCCGCAGTGGTGGGGAGGGTGTGGGTGGGTGATGGGTGGGAGGAGGGCAGGGAGGACTGGCCCAATTGACCAGGTGGGGTCGTCGGGGCCGGGAACAGGTAAGGCCAGGGTGGGGGTGAGGTTGAGGGCCAGACTGGGGGCCGAGACAACCCTGGGGAGCCACAGGAGGTCCCTGAGCCAGGGAGGCTGTGCCCGGGGCGTGTCCAGGGGACAGGTGGGCAGGGGTCTGAGCCAGGCGTGCAGCGTGGGAAGGGGGGTGGCGGGCGGGCAGTGCGGTCACCTCGGCCTCCGTCACCACACTCTTCTTAAACAGCCGGTCCAGCAGCTCCTCAGAGCAGCACCTGGGCTCCCGTCAAGGAAAAGCAGCCCTGGGGGTCTGGAACCCCCCGGCCCCCCACGCTGGCAATGAGGCAGCCAGGACTGAGAGTGCGTCTGGTCACCGGGGGCGGGGGTGGGCCAGGGACCCCTCTGGACCCAAGACGGCACCCGGCCTCTCTGCACAGAGCCCGCCCCCCGCACCCCTGCTCAGGGAGGAGGACGCCGACTCGGGCTGGTGGGGGTGCACCGAGATCCCCCCAAGACCCCAAGACAGGGCCGGCCCGGGCAGGCAGCTCCTCTCCTGCCTCCAAGGGGCCACCTGCAGAGTGGGAGGGGACCTCCAGCCGTGCCCACTGAGGACCTCCCAGACCCTCGGGACCCGCTCAGTCACCAGCACCGCCGGTGACCCCAGTCGACGCCCGTGGAACAGAAGGCCCAGTCCCCGACCCACACTGCCCCGAGCTGCAAGCAGGAGCCGCTTGTTATGCAGCACAAACGCGGGGAGCCACGCCGACAGCCGTCACCAAGACCCGGCCGGTCCCCTCCTCGGACCGGCCCCCACCCAGCGGGGCAGGACGAGGGGATACAGCTCTAAGACAAGAATGAGGGTCTTCCGGGTCTCGAACTGGTCCAGCAGCCCGGTGACGAGCGGGTGGCTCAGGGTGGCCAGGACGTCTCGCTCCCGGTAGGCCTGGGCCCGCGTGCTGCTCCTCACCGGGATGAACTTGGCGGCGCAGCAGATCTTGTTCCCCTTGTGCTGCACCCTTTTCACGATGCCGAACACGCCCCTGGGACGGAGGGAGGGGTTGGCGGGGCACCGTGCGCGCCATCCCGGGGGTCCCAGCGGAGGGCCGGGCAATACCTTCCGATCTCCTCCTTGACCTCGTAGAAGGAGTGCAGCCTCCTGCGCGCGCTCTGCTGCTCGGGGCCGGGCTCGCCGTCTGCGGGAGGCACGGGCGGTCTGGGCAGGGCCACCCTGGTGCGGCTGCCGATGCCACGGGCTGGCGGGAGCCACTCCCTACACGGGGCCACGAGACCACGCCCACCTGGGTGCCACCCACGGGGACAGGGGGTGCCGCGCGGGGGACAGACCGTGGGCCCGGGGAGTGTCGGCCGACTCACCCCCGTGGACCAGCAGCTCGGCCTTGCAGAGCACCTGGCCGCCGGTGTTTCGGGCCACGCAGGTGTAGACCCCAGCGTCCTGCCGGGCCACGTCCCTCAGCACCAGGCGGCACGTGGGGCCCTCCTGCTGCTGGCTGAGCCGGGCGCCGTGCGCCAGCTGGACGCCGTCCTGGGAGCACAGGGCCGGCGAGGCCACCGTCAGCCCGCCCCGGGGACCCTCACGGAGCGGGGCTTCCGACACCTGCTGTGTCCCCTCCCGTGTGGCCTAGAGGGGACGCTGGGAAATGCATGGTGGGGACTGCAGGACGACGGGGACTTCACAGCCCCCCATACCCCCTCCACCCACCCACACACGCGCCTCCCTCCCCCAGCTCCCGGGCGCCACCCACCCTCCCGCACCCCACCGGGACCTTGCTACCTTGTACCAGGTAACCGTGGGCTGCGGGTTGCCCTCGATGACAGCCTCAAACTGTGCCGTGCCGCCTGCCTGGACCTGCACATCCTCGATGGTGACCTGCATGGACGGGGGCCCTGGGGGCGAAGGGGAGGGGCTGTGGGGAGGGGTCCCCAGACTGCCCAGGTGGTCGGAGACACGCCCCGGGGCAGCAGAGCCCGCCTCTCCCTCCTGAGCGCCCAGGCCTCGGATAGGTGGGAAGTGCTTCCTTCAGTCCAACCACCGTCTGTCCTGCTTTCGCCTCAGCTGGTCAAGTGGCCGGGGGACGGCCAGGCAAGGGCAGGCAGCACTCGCTAGCTGAGGCTGTCCCTCTTGGGGACCGGGTCCTACGGGTGCTTGGGGACAGGGTTCACAGCTAGGTCTCCTCTGCCCGGAGAGGGTCCTGGCCCTGCCAGGGGGACACAGGGGCTGGGGCAGGGCCAGGGCACGCTGGTGGCCTCTGCAGATGTGCACGCGTCCCCCAGCCCCGGGCACGGGGCGCAGGGATCCCGTACTTGCGGTGCCGGCGTCCACGGCCCGGTACACGTATGTGGTCTGCGTGGTCTCTGTGACCACTCGGCTGTGCACGTCCCAGAGCGGCTGCCCTGTGCCCGGCCGCGCTGCGCCCTCCAGCCTGGGAGGAGACGCTAGCTGAGCCCCACCGCAGCCCCAACAGCCTCCCGCCCAGATGCGGGGCAGGAGGGGTCCCGCTGTGCCACCGCTTGGCTCGGCCGCATGGGGACAGGGTGCACAGACGGGTCCCAGCCCTGCCCCCCGTGTGAAGAGGGGTCACCACGCCGCACCCCAGGGCTGGCTGGACAGCCCGCCCCGCTCCACAGGGCGGTTCGGACGGGGCCGGTGAGAACCGGCCCCACCGGCTGCTCACGTCCACGTGGCAGGGCTGGCGTGGCAGAGCTGAGCCCCCGACCGTCCAGGAGGGTCGCCCCCCACGTGACCCAGCAGGTCAGGTTACCGGATGGGCACGGTCCGCTCCTGCGCGGTGGTGCCGGGGTCCGTCTCCTGCCTCCGCTCGGTTGGGGGATGGGCGGCGGCGCCGTCCCGGGCTCAGGTGGTGGCAGGCGGGAAGCTGGGTGGTCGGGGCGCCCCCTGGCCAGGCACACCGGCAGGCAGAGCCGCGGAATCTGGGGGGCCTGGGGGCAGAGTGCGGTGAGAGCCCGGCAGGGTCCTGGCCCCCAAACCAGGCTCTCAGACGCGCAGGCAGCCGCCCCACGGAGCCCAGGCCGGGCACCACCCCACGCCTGGCTGCGGCTGCGCACCCTCTGCCCCACGCGCCCTGGCCCTGCGAGCAGGTCGCTGTGTCTCAGCGCCGTGGACGCCGTGGGGCCCCAGCTTTCCCAGCACGCGAGCAATGGCGGGGGCTGGGGTGGGGGGACCCCAGAGGCCGCAGTGTGGGCCCGGCAGGGGACAGGGAAGCCCCTGGACGCACCCAGCGTGCAAGGGGAGCAGATGAGAGACGCCACGGCAACCGGTTAGAGAAGCAGGCTCGGGACGGCCCAGCCACAGCGCAGGCGGCTCAGGCACATGCCAACCTGGGGCGGGGAGGGGCCCGGCGCGGGCATCGGGGCGTGACGGGTCGGGGTGGGCTGGTGCTCGCTCCACGGCAGCAGCTGGCGGGACAAACACACGGGGCTGCGACAGGGCCGAGATGTGCCGAGTGGCACTGGGGTGGGGCGTCTGCCCAGCTTCCCGCAGGGTGCGCCCCCCGCAGCAGCGGGAGAGAGAGGGGCCAGGGCTGGCCCTCCCAGACCTCGCCCGGCCTCTGCCCCTCTGTGTGGCCCCGACTGCAGCCCTGGTCGCCACAGGGCTCTGAGGAGGAGCAGCTGCCACTTCCTGGGCCCGAAAGGGACACCGTGCCCCCCCAGCCTGTGGCAGGACGCAGGGCAGACGTGTGGCCCTGTGGGGTCCTGGAGCACCGCCCGCTGGAGGGAGGAGCCTGTTTGTACAGGGCCTCAGCTCCGGGCCGAGGGGGTGAGTATCTCGCCCTGCGGGGGCAGGGGCCCTGGCCTGGGGGGAGGTCGAGGCAGCAGCATGGGGACAGGGCCCTGTGGGTGTGTGAACCCTGCATGCCCATCTGTCCGTCGGCCAAACCATCTGAAACGCTGGCCCGAGCGCGTGCTCAGGGCGGTGAGCAGGATCCCACAGCAGGGGTGGCCCCCAGTGACCCCTGGGGGGCTGCAGCCCAGAGGGGCCACACAGGGCGGCCGGCGGGGGTGCATCAGGGGAGGCGGTGCAAGATGGTGGGGGGACGGGGGGTGGGACCCGGCGCTGGGGGGCTGGGAGGGTTCTCTGGGTGAAGGTGACCGGGGCAGGGGCTCTGGGAGACCCACAGAGCGGGTCTCACCACCGGGTCTGGTCTGTCTGGGGCACAGGTGCAACCGTCTGTATCCTCCCTCTCCCCCTCTTCTTCCTCCTCCTCCCAGCCTCTCCCTCCTCCCCCTCCTCCCCCCACTTCCTGCCCCCACCAAGGGGCACAGGGCACCTGGACTGGTCATCAAAGTACAACCATGGGAGGCCCCTGGCTCCTGGAGCAGACTCGCTCAGGCTGGGAAGAACCTTCCAGAACCCATCCCGCGCCTAGACGGCTGGGCCTTGCCTGGGGCCCCCAGTGCATGGAGCCATTGGGATCCCAAATTGGGGTCCCAGGGGCTCGGTCAGTTCACGCTGTGGGCTGGGGACCCCCCCCCGTGACCCCTCAGGTCGGGCCGCCAAGGCTGGGGTCAGCTCCCCAAGAGGGGTCTTTGGGGTCAGCCCCCTCCGGGCCTCACCAGGTGCGTCCGGGGCTCCTGCGCCTGGGAGCTGGGGGCAGGCCTCCTGCAGAGCGGGCGGCCCCCCGGGGCCGGGCCCGGGCCCCGCGAGGTCCTCCGAGGAAGGGGCGGGTGCCTCGGGGCCGGGCGGTCTCTGCAGGACGGGCGCGACCTCCTGCTCCTGGGCGGTGGGGACGGCGGCCTCCGGGGCGGCACCTGTGGGCGAGGCAGGTGTAGCGTGGTGAGGCCCAGGTGACTGGCGAGGCCTGAGCCCGGGGAGGGCTCCAGGGACCCCTCCCGTCACTGGAGACTGCCCGGGTGTGTGGCCCGGGCTCCCCACCCCTGCCCGCTCCTCTCTCAGCAGGTGGAGGCCCCCCGAGATCCACGCAGGTGGGGGGCTGCTGCCTCTGCCCGGAGCCCCATCCTCCCCTCGGTGCCTTCGGGGAAAGTCACCTCCTCCAGGGAGCCGCTGGGCCTGGACACCCACCGCCCCACCCCGAGCCACAACGCCACCCTCCATCCCAGGGCTGGCCTCCCCTCAAGGCCAACTTGGGACCCCGGGTGCTGGGCTCCAGCCCCGAACCTGGGGCTCCGGCAGGCTGGTGCCAAACCGAGGGCTGGGGAGCCTCAGGGAGGCCGTCCGGGTGGCCTCAGCTGTGGGCCTCGCTGAGGACGGGCCCAGGGCCCATTTGTGCTACCTGCCCTCTCCCCCCGCCCCCCGCCTCAGCCGGGCCCAGGCCACGCAGCCCCTCCTGGGTGTACCGGCCCCCACATGGCCTCACCCGTGTGTCCCCAGCAGGTCCACCTGCCGGGCCCTCCCTTCTGCTCCTCTTCCCAGGTTTCGGGTCCCCGCCGAGGGGCTCCTTCCCTGGCACCCCGATCCTCAGGGTGGAGAGGTGGCCCCCCGGCTGCCCTCTGCAGGGTCAGGGCGGCCCCCTGCCTCCCCCAGCTCGAGGAGCTCAGCAGGACCCCTGGGCTGGCCTCGGGGCTGGCGGTCACCTGGCGTCCTGCCCCCCACAGCTGCCATAACTGTCCCACCAGGGATGACGGGGCCACCCCTAGAGGCCGAGCGCCTGAGCCCTCAGGGGTCACCACACCCCTCTCTGACCCCACGTCAGCCGCAACAACAGGCCCGAACGTACAGACCCAGGAAGGCCTGCCCGGCCCCCGGCAGGCCACAAGTGGCCACACCACGAGCCCCTGCGAGTGGGCAAGCTGCCACGGGTCACCCCGCCTGCTGCACTGGGCACCGGGTGCCGGCAGCAGCCGCCCAAGGCCCCCCAGGGCTGCACGCGGAGGGGCCCGGGCCGCCTGTGTCGCCGGAGCCACTAGCAGAGAAGTGAGAGCCACAGACAGGGTGCAGGAGCCGGTTTATTGTTGCTGTCGAGCGGGCGTCGCCCCCACAGCCCCCGTCCACCCGCGAGGGGCCGGCTGGGTCTGCAGCGCAGGGGCGCACCCTGCCCGGGTCTCAGCCCCCAGCCTGCGGGAGGGGCCAGGCGGTGCGCGGCCGGGCCAGCGGGGCCCCCAGGGGGACGGGACGGATGTCCGAGTCCACGTCTGTGTCCCGAGCCCCCAAGGCCAGTCCAGAGGGTTAAGGGTCCAGAGCCGGGGTCTCTGAGGCGCCCCTGAGCATCCCCACATTGCCTGAGACGCTGCGTCCACCCTCCCGGCGGAAGTCCCAGTGCAGAGAGGTAGCAGGGCCCGGGCGGGCGGACGGGTGGGCGGGCGGACGGGCTCCCTGCGGGTGCGGGCAACGTCCTGGGCACCCCATGTCCCCTCTCCCTGCCGGCCGGCCGGGATGGCAGCAGCTTCAAGGGCGTGTGGCCGCCTCCCGGCCGCCCGGGCGGATGTGCAGCGTGACGGTCTCGCCCACGGTCCCGAAGCCGACCGTCTGCGTGGAGAGCTCCGTGGCGAAGCTGCTCTGGCCGCTGGCCGCAGAGCGCCGGACCCGGGTGCAGAAGGACTGCGTGCGGGGGGTGGCGGCGCCGGCGGGCCCGGCCTGGGCCTCCCGCAGGAGGAAGGACGCAGCCTCGGGTCCTTGGGCTGGGAGCCCGGATGGCGGCGGCCACGGCCCCCTGGGGGGCTCAGGCCCGAAGGGGCCGGGCACGCGGCCCAGGCTGAGCAGCACGGGCCGGCCCACGGTGGGCTCCCGGATCTCCCTCTGGATCACGGCGACCTCGCAGGGCGGCTCCTCGGGGGCGCGGGGCGCAGCCGGGCCGGCACAGCCGAAGGTCTCGCCCTCCCCGGGCACGTAGTCCTCCAGGTCGGCCAGTGTCAGCGCGCGCCCGTCACGCGTGAGGACCTTGAGGGCGCGGGCCCCGAGGCCGCCGGCGTCCGGGGGCTCCTCCGGCATGACGACCGCGGCCTCCTCATCCTCGCCCTCGGCCTGCCCTCCCAGCTCCTCGAGGGGTGCCCCGGCCTCTTCCTGCAGATCGTGGCCGCCCCTGCCCGCCTCGGCCCAGCCCACGCCGCGCCCGGCGTCCACTCGAAGGACCAGGGGCTCCCCGACGCGGGCCAGGGCTGGGCCCAGCTGCTTGTTGTTGGAGTTGTTGGAGTTGGGGTCCCCGCCGGGCGGCGGGAAGGGCGGCTCCTCCCCGGCGGGAGGCGCACCCCGAGGGCCCGTCTTCTTCACCCGCACTTCGACGGTCTCCTCCACCTCCACCCACCGGGGCGGGGCCCCCGCGCCCCCCGGCAGGGCCTCGGGCTCCGTCACGAACAGCGTGGGCACCGTGCGCTTCTGGCCCGGCTCCGCCTCGGGCCTGCGGGGCTGGGCGGCCCCCCGCAGGGACGGCAGGTTGGCGGCCCTCAGGCCCGGCCTGGAGGGGCTGGTGGGGCGGCGCGAAGGCGAGCGGGAGGGGGACTTGCTGGGGGAGTGCCGCCGGCTGCGGGGGCTCTTCACCACCGTGGTGATGGTCTCTTCTCTGGGGAGCGGAGAGGGCCCGAGACAGGTGGGTGGGCACCCAGGGTCGTGCGAGAGAGAGCAGGTTAGCGTGCCAGCGAGCCAGCGGTGAAACTGCACAAGCAAACTCCTACACATGCTCTGGAGCCCGGCCCGCAGAGCCCCGAGCCAGAGAGGTGAAGAAACAAAGCACAAAGTCCCGCGTGGCCGACCTCAGGCTCTGGTGCAAAGACCTGGAAACGGGAGCCTGGAGAGGCCCACGCCACGTGGCACGGACAAGCGCCTCTAAAACCAGGCCAAGTCCAGACTGGCAACGTGCCCCTGGCCGGCCCCCCTCCCCCCAGCAGCAGGCCCTGTGCTTTGTGTCCCAGGAGAGGGCTCGCCCACCGGCTCTCAGCGGGCGGCACCTGCTGCCCCAGACCCCCGGTGAGGGACGTGGGCACAGAGCTCATGCCGCAGTGCGTGCAGGGCGCTGGGCGGGGAGGGCTGAGCCCTGGCCTGCGGGCGCCAGGCCCGGCAAGGCCCGAGACCTGCATCCCCCGGGCTGGGGGAGGGGTGTCATGGTGTGTGTGTGGTGCCGGCCAGGCTGCTGCCAGCGGCCTGCTGTGACTGAGGTGCTGTGTGTGTCTCGCTCCCTCGTTCAGCCTCGCTTTTGTCTGACTCTGGCTCCGCTTGGACACAGTCGTGTGGCCGACCCTTGGGGCACACAGCCACGGCAGGTCACACCCCCTGACGGTGGGGAAGCTGGGGCCGGCCGGGAGGCGCGGCCTGCTCAGGTAAAAGGTGGATCAAAGGTGGACCTGATCTGCGTGCGGCCAGGACGTGGGTGCACGCCTCCAGGAATGGTGCTCACCGCCACCCCGTTGGCCCATCTACCGTGGGGCGGCACCAACCTACGCTCGGGGGGAGGGGAGGAGAAAGGCGGGGAAGGGTGAGCCTTCCAGGGTCTCACCGGGCGCCTGGCCGGGCATTGTGCAACCGCCTGGCCGACCGCAGCCCCGCTGGGAGGCTGGAGGTCGGCGGGGAGCTAACGAGTTTCCCATCCTGGAGCTTCTCGGTCCCTCCGGCCTCCTAGCTGTTGTGAGCCCCCCGCCACCTCCACCCGCAAGCGCCTCGTATGGGAAGTGCTGCCAGGTGACCCAGGTCAAAGCCAGTCCTGCACTCCGTGGGTTCGCCTGGCTCTGGTCCCCTGTGTCATCTCATCAGCAGCAGCCTGTGCGGCTTCCCCGGCCTTGAAGGCGCTGGCAGAGGAGGAGGAGACAGTGGGCGTGGCCCCGGGAAACGGGGCCTCCAGGGCTTCTGTCCTTAGCTCTGAGCCAGCCTCCTCTCTCCCCTGAACCTCAGTTTCCCCACACTCCAAATGTCACCACTGGGCTTGGGGACCTCAAAGGGTCCCAGGACTGTGCTCTCCACTACGGCTGCATTATTCAAGTTAAATCCAAATTAATAAAATACAATTTAAAACCCAGTTGTTTAGCCACAATAGGCACACCCCAAATGTCCAGCAGCCACACGGCGTGGCCGTCAAGTGCGACGTGGAGTGTCTCCGTGACCACGGACAGCACGGCCAGCCCCGGCGTGCGCAGGGCAGAGGGAAGCCGCTCTGAGGCCCTGCTTCACCTTGGCGGGTGTGATTTGGGTCCGAGCCCTGGCCGAGCCCGGGGTGGTGTGCACTGTGAGTGTCCCCAGGCTGTGGGGCACGGAGAGGGCTGACACCCTGGGAGAGAGACCTGTGAGCCGTGAGGGTCACATCAAGGTCCCCGGCGAAGGTGGTGACGTGAGAAGCTACCCGCGAGTGTCTGCGAGGTGCCGGCCGTCCTCGGGGACAGCGGGGCTGCGTGAGCAGGCAGCGGGGCGGGCGGGCGGCCAGGCGCGGTCCAGGCGGGTTAGTGGCATGCAGGAGGGCACTGCAGTCAGAAGGAAGGTTAGGAACACGCCTGCACTTACATGATGACGGTTTTCTTGGGGACTTTAGTCTCTTGCTCAGTGACTACAAAGAAAACAGTCGGAATAGCGAGGGTTAGAGCAGCCAGCGCGGCGGCACAGGGCCCTGCTCGGCTGCCCCTGGGCAGCACATCCCCGCTGGGAGCCTCGGGTCCCTGCTCTCTGGGGTGGGGGACGGAGCCTGCCTCGAGCGGCTGGGCGTGCGGAGGTGGCCGCAGTGCGTGCGGCGTCTCTCTGGGAGGCCCTGCGGGAGCTGCCAGGACGTAGGGACCCTGCCTAGGCTGCCCGCACCAGAACCGGCTTGTCCCTCTGCCGTGTGCTGAAGGCGCCCTTCAGGCCTCAGGTCTGAGTCCTGGAGCGGGGACGGAAGGGGGAAGCCAGAGGCCACGCTGGCACTCGGCGCATCCTGGGTGAGGGATCTGCAGTCCTGAAAGCGGCACATCTGGGCTCTGTGGCACGAGGCCACGGAAGTCCTGCCGAGAACAGCACCAGGGGCCGCCTGCGGGGCCCTGGGCTCTGAGCGAGGGGGCACCGTCTCCCTAGGGAGCACCTGGCCCACGAGCTCGGGGGCCTCTCCTGGTTTTCCTAGCGACTTCCTGCCCGGAGCTGGCGGGACGGGCCTGCGGTTCCTGTCTGGCAGATGGGGACCCTGAGTCCCAGAGCCGGGAGGGGCCCGTCTAGGGGCAGCCACCTGCTGTGCCTGCAGCTCCCGGGCGGCGTCACGCGGGACAAAGAGATCTCCCCGCCTGGCCTCGGCCAGCTGGACCCTCTCGCCAGCCTGCGGGGCTCCCCACTCTGCCACGCTGCCACATACAGCTGTTTCTCTGAGACACCGGGCGACTGTGACAGCTGTCTGAGGGGGGCTGCTCCTGAGCTACATGCGCCAGTGGTGTCTGTGTGTGCACTTGGGAGCCACACGTACTGTGCGTTTGCGTGCATGCACGCGCATGTGTAGACACATGCACGTGTATGTGCACACATACACATATGTGTGCGTGCACATGTGTAAACATGTGTAGGCATGTGTGTGCACAGGCTGCCCTCCAGGAAGAGAATGGGGTCTGGCCCAAAGCTCTGCGAGTTAGACTAAGGGGGCTGCAGAGAAAGCCACGTGTGCAGCGCCTGCAGGCCGGCCTGTGTGCCGAGCGGACAGCCGGGCAGCGCTGGGGCTCCTCCCCTGGCACCTCTGTTCAGGACCTGACCTGCACCCGGCCAGCTCCGGGCCCCGAGCGAGCGTCTGTGACCGCAGGCGTGCAGCCGTGCGAAGCAGGCTCCGGGCGCAGCGAGCTCACAGCCGCTCTGCCGCAGCCGGAGCCGCCGGTTAGGAGGGAGCAGCGGGACAGGAGTTAGCAAGCGGCAGGCGCTGGGCTCTGACTCCGGGCCCTTCCGGGCCGGCCGACCGCTCTGTCTCACGAGGCCGCCCTCCGCTGTTCCCAGAGAGAGACCGTGGTGATGACCCAGCGAACGGCTGGGGGACCCTCCACCACCGGCAGGAGAGCCTGGGCGTCCCCGGGGGCATCTCCCGGCCGCGAGATGCGAGGAGGTGAGTGCGCGGCGGCAGAGTGTCTGTGCGTGACGCTGCGGGGCCGACGGAGGTCACAGGGCTCCCAGGGACATGTTGGACATGGGGTGCCACGGCCCTCCGGGGGTGACACACAAGGGCCCGGCGAGGGAGGGGCTCCGTGAGCATCCTGGCAGGTGTGAACACCCCGGGCAGCCCAGCCCTGTGACGCTCCCGTGAGAAACCGACGTCCAGACCCCGGGCCTGGGCTGGCTCCCCAGTGGCCTTGGAGGCTGCCGTGCACTCCGGCCCACCCGCAGCGGGGGCCGCAGTTCCACCCAGCGTCAGCCGGGCCTCACCCTCATGCCCCGGCTGGGAGGCCTAGGACAGACGCCGGACGCCCCCCCCCACCTGGCTGCCCCCCCAACTCCTGGTGACCCCATGGGGCTCATGGAGCTGCCCAGCCCCTCCCCGGCCCCCAGGAGCAGCCCGGCCAGGCCAGGCCAGGGAGGCGGAGCCACAGTGTGCAACCCGCAGAGCCTGAGGCTCCCAGAGCGCCAGGCCCTCGTCGCAGCCGTGCCGGCCACCCCACCCAGCCCGGTGGCGCGTCTCCCGCTAGCTCCGCCCAGCACGGAGGGCCCCACACGCGCCTGGGAGCCAAGCTGGGGCCGGCAGCCTCACCCTCCGCCCTGGGCGGGGACCGTCTTCCTCAGAGACGTCCTTCCTGTCCGGCTCCAGCCCCACTGGCCTCTGCGCAGAGTGCCATCTCGCCAGGGTGGCAAGCAGGGCTCCCTTTACAGCCTTCACTCAAACACTGTGTTTGTGACCCGCCCTGCGCCTCCCACCAGGTGCCACCTCTGCAGCCTCCTGCTCCAGGAAGCACCTCAACTGGAAGGGAGACGCCTCAGCCTCCCACCCGCAGCCTCCCACCTGTGCCTCCCACCTGCACCTCCCACCTGCACCCTCTAGCCTGCGCCTCCCACCTGTGCCTCCCACCTGCACCTCCCACCTGCACCCTCTAACCTGCGCCTCCCACCTGTGCCTCCCACCTGCACCTCCCACCTGCACCCTCTAACCTGCGCCTCCCACCTGCACCTCCCACCTGCAGCCTCCAACCTACAGCCTCCCACCTGTGGTCTCCAATTTGAACCCTCCCACCTGCATCTTCCAACCTTAAGCCTCCCACCTCAGCCTCCAACCTGTAGCCTCCCACCTGTGACCCCCCCCCCCCGCCTGTGGCCTCTAACTTGCAGCCTCCCGCCTGCAGCCTCCCACCCCCGGTGCCGCCAGGCCTGTGGAGGGCCCAGCCTGGGAGCCGCCGAGCCCGCACCGCCGGGCCGGGACCTACCTTCCACGGCGGCCACGAGCTGCTGGCGGTGGCGCTGCTCCCGGGCCCTCACCGCGGGGCTCTGCATGCACAGGTCCGCGCCGCCTCGCGTGGACCCCAGCCGGTTCACCAGCTGTGGGGGACGGCAGAGGCCAGCTCAGAGCCTGAGGCTCCCCGAGGGCCCTCCGCTCTGTTTGGGGCAGGTCGACCGTCTGCAGCACGGCGGCCCCACCCGGGGACCCTGCCGCCCCGGAGCCTCCTGCAGCTGGGCCGCGTGCCCACGTGCCCTGTCTGGGGCCGCCCGGCACTCGGGGCTCCGAGTCCCTGGGGAGGGGCCGGCGTGGCCGAGGAGCAGAATCTTCCACTGGATTTGCCCTTAACTGACTTATTTTTTTGATTGATTTTTAGAGACAAGGTCTCACTCTGTCATCCAGGCTAAAAGTGGCATCAGCCTAGCTCACAGCAACTTCCAAACCCCTGGGCTCAGCGATCCTCCTGCCTCAGCCTCCTGAGTAGTTGGGACTAGAGGCCCCATGACACCCGGCTAATTTTAAAAATTTTTGACTAAGACGGGGTCTCACTATGCTGCCCAGGTTGGTCTCAAACTCCTGGCCTCAAGCGATTCTCTTGCCTCAGCCTCCCAAAATGCTGGGATTACAGGCGTGAACCACCGCACTGGCTCCTTTAACTGATTTAAATTAAAGTTTAAATCCCTCGGCGTGGCCACAGCGACTGCACTAGGCAGCGTCAGTGCACAGCTCACGTGGGTCCCTGCGTCCTGGGGCCGGCCGTGGGCAGCAGCCACACGGGGAGGCTGGTGGCTGGACAGGAGCTCCCAGGGCCCCTGTAGTCAGCACACGCCCACTGCGGGCCACCGTGGGGCCTCACGCCAGGCCCCAACCCCGGGAGCCCCTGCCCCCACCCTGTGACATGGTGACAGGTGCAGAGGGCAGCTCTGTCCGTCTGCAGGTGAAGCTGGGCAATGCTGGATGACTGACGCTCCGTTTTTACTGGAACGATGAAATTTAGGAGGTCGGTACCAGGTGCCCCCAGGAAGCAAATGCCGAGTGGCGCCCTGAGCTGTCGCAGGACACCAAGAACAGGCACCCGCTTCCACGTGGGAGGGGTGGGAGGCCTCGGCGGAGGAGGAAGGCCAGAGCATGGGGGCGGCGTGGCTGAGGACAGGGCGAGAGCAGCCTGGCGTCCCCGCCTGGCAGGAGGGACATGGGTGACAGTGGGCACGCTGGCCCCTGGCCTCTCCCCGGAGCCCCCGGCCCCACTTCCCCCCATGGCTCACCTCACACTCGTAGTAGCCCAGGTCCTCCTTGCTGGCCGCCCGGATCCCCAGCACCAGGACGCCGCTGCGGGGCTCGCTCAGCACGCGGTACTTGCCGCCAGGCGCCAGCGGGGCGCCGTCCTTGTACCACCTGCAAGCCACCCAGACAGCCCGTGAGGCCGGGCCCGACCACCACCCTCTGCCCCACCAGCCGACCCGGCGTCCTCACGGCACCTGCCCGGGCCCGCAGAGAGCCCCGCCAGCGGCCGAAATCCACCGGCCGTGCCCTCCTGGGGCAGGCAGGGCCCAGGCACCCGCTTTGCAGGTGAAGGCCGTGGTCATGTGTCCAGCCTGGCCCCGCCTGGGGAACACACAGCACACGCCTCGCCCCACAGGCAGGGCCGACCCCCTCACTGCCCCGCCGGGCGGGGACCCACCTGATCTGGGGGGCCGGGGCGCCTTCCACGGTGCAGGTGAGCTGGGCGTCCTCGCCCTCCACGAAGGGAGCCGCCTGCACCTTCTTCACGAACCGAGGGGGCACTGCAGATGCGGCAGACAGGGATGGGGAGACTCAGATGGGGACGGGGACAGGGACAGGGATGGGGAGACTCAGATGGGGACGGGGACAGGGACAGGGATGGGGAGATTCAGATGGGGACAGGGTCAGGGATGGGGAGACTCAGATGGGGACAGGGACGGGGACAGGGACGGGGAGACTCAGACGGGGACACGGAGGTGCCATGACAGAGCCACCCCCGCTGGTGCCCTCTGACCCTCGGCGAGCCCCCAGACCGCGGCTGGCGTCCACACCCTCCCGCTGCCCCGCCGTCCGGCCCTCCCGCCCACCTTGCACAAGGATCTTGCCCAGCGTGCTGGCGTTGCCGGCGGTGCTGGCCGCGAAGCACATGTACTGGCCGGAGTCCGCGCCCGTCAGGGTGTCCAGGATGAGGGCGCAGGAGCCGTCGGCGTCCTCGATGAGGATGTGGTGCGGGTCCACCTCCACCGGCTTGCCGTCTGGGAGGGCGAGAGGGCGTCACCAGTGGGACCCCATGGGGAGGAGCGGCTGGGCCCCCCTGCAGCGTGCTGTCTCCGGCGGGGCCACGGGGCCCGGCGTGCACCCTGCTGGGTGGGCTCCCAAGGCGCCCAGGGGCTCTGGGGACAGGCCAGCCTCCCCCTGTCCCCTGTCTCCATCTGTCTCTCTGTCTTTCCTTGTCTCTGTCTTTGTCTCTCAGTATCTCTTTTATCTCTGTCCTCTCTGTCTCTCTAACTTTGTCTATCTCTGTCTCTCTGGTCTCTGTCTCTCTCTCTGCCCAGCTTGGACACCAGCTGGAGCCCAGGGCTGCTCCAGGGGACCTGAACTCTGCAGAGGACACCCCCCCTCAGACAGCAAAATCCTCGGTCACCCCACCTCCCCATCGCCCCTGCGACTCCCGGGACCTGCCGCGCCCACCGCACCCCACTCGTCGGGGCCCGCCTAGCCAGAGCCCCGTCTCACAATCACCCACACCCCCTGCGCACAGCCGCCCGCCAGCCCTGCGGAGGCAGACGGGAGGGTCCCCCCTGGCCGACGCGAAGGGCTCCCGTACAGTGAGCGGCACTAACCCGGTGCCCGGCCCCTCTTGCACACCCTCCCCAGGCCGCGCCACGGATGGGCGCACATTGCGCCCGGCAGGAGCAGACCCTCCCCCGGGGCCCTGGGGCTGCCTCCTGCCGCCTGTCCTGAAGGCGGATGCCCAGAGCGCCGTCTCCCCCGCGCAGAACACGCCCTCCGCCCAGTGCCCTTGTGCGGGACGTGCCCTGGAGGACGGGGAAGAAGTCTCTGACGTGTCCCGAAGGCAGGCAGCACCCGGCCTTCCCACGACAACACGGGGACCGGAAACGCGGAACGCACCGCCCTGGTGGGAACGTCCGCCCAACCGCCCAGCCGGCCGCCGCAGGGCGACACTCCCCCGCGGACAGCCCCTCCCCGTGACGCCTAGCTACGCAACACTGCACGGCACACGCCACACGGCTCTGGGCGCTCCCTACGACGCCTCACTCACAAAGGCTCCCGCAGCGCTGGTTCTAGGTTGCATCGAACCAAAGAAAAGCATTTTAGATTATTTTTTTAAAAACAATGAAAGAAGCTACGGCCTCCGTTCCCTGCACGTCTCTGTCGCCACCCGGCCTCCAGCCGTCCCCCCAGCCCCTCCTAGACCCGTCCCCACACCCTCGGCCAAAGCTCGGTCCCTCTGGCCTCCTCAGACTCCCCCGTCCACGCTCTGAGCAGAGACACGCACAGCCGGGCTCGGGACGGTCCCCCAAGGACAGCAACGCCGTGATGTCCCCTCCCTCGCTGGACGCGCCCAGGGCAGTGGGAGAAAGCCCTTCTCGCCCTTTCCGGGCAGACTTTGGCATTTCGCATTCCGGGGTAGTGAGTCCCCTGCTAACTCCGGGGGGAGCGGGGGCGGGTGTGCCAGCAGCCCCTGCAAGTTCAGCATCTCCTCAGATTTGGGGGTTCTCTCTTGGAGTGCAGCTGACACCCGGCTCTCCCCGTCTCTCGCTGAGGAGTCTGGGGCGCGGGGAACCGACGCCACACGCTGCCCTGCTGGTACGACAGAGTCTACGTCTCTGGCCCCGGAGACTCGTGTCATGTGTCACTCGAGTCTCGCGTCTACACCAAGCCAGCGGGCAGGGTGAGCTCTCCAGCCCCACTCGGTTTTTGATTTGCAATTTTGGTGACAAGAAGGGGAGACTGTCAGAGACACGGCCTGCTGGAAGGAAGGGCAGGGCAGCTCCGTGGGCCTCTTCCTCCGCTTGTCTGGCCCCTTGACGAGAAGCAGCGAGGCAGGCGGCTGCACCTGAGCCCTGGGGAGCGGGCTCCAAAGCAGACCCGGCGTGCCCGGGCGGCGCTCTCTCCCCCAGTGCCCGCCGGGACTTCGCTGGTTCACCGAAGACACTGGGACCACACTGGGCCCGAGGAGGAGTCCCCGTCACGCCACAGCCACGGAAACCCGCACACGCGCTGGGCGCAGGGGACGGGCCAGCACCTGCCATGGCAGGCAGGTGGCTGGACCGGGCTCGGCTAGCTTGGGGCGAGGGGATGGCACCCGGCCGTGTTCAGGAGCAGCAGCCGGGGCTCCTGCGCCTCCCGCCCGGCTTCGGCGGCGGAGGGTTTGAGTCTGGGCCGTGGCCGGGTTGCTGGAGACTCCCCGAGACCAACCCCATCCCATCCACTGCCACGAGGGCAAACGTGGGGGACACGCCAGTGATAGCCTGCACCCCGGGTGCCCTGATGGCATCTGCCACAGCGACTGGGGTGACGTGCCGCAGGAGGCGGCCCGGAGGGATTCACGGCCGGTCCTGCCCCCTTGCAGGCGCCCTTAGCCCTTATGGGGAAACCGCAAGGGCCGTGAGGCCTCGTCCTGGTGCCAGACGCCCCACCACGAGGCCCCATCACAGAGGTCACCGCCGTGCCAGTCGGACCGCCGGGCGCGGGGCCCACAGACCCCTGAACCTGCAAGGCACGGTGACACGGCTCGTGAAGGGGACGGGACGGCCAGGGGACAGGGGACAGTCCTCCTGCGTGCCCGGCCACACATCCCGCCCCAGCCTCGCAGTCACTCCTGCGCACACAGATGCCCCCAGCTCGCCTCGGACAAGCGGAACAGGAAGGACTGACCTGGGGCAGCTGCTCTAAAACCAGGACTGGGCTCGGCCGTTAGGACTGAACTAGAGACCTGGAGGCTTGTCAGCCAGCCCAGGTGTGGCCTACCTGGCAGCCCAGGTGATGCCAGGAGGGACATGTGGGACACGCAGTCAGCCTGTGCTGATGCGCATCTCCCTGGAGCCCCCAAACTGTAAACAGTAACTGTGCCCTCAGGACCCCCTGCAGCCGCCAGGCACACACCTGCCTCGCCACACACACACGCAGCTTGCACCTTGGGCCATCACGAAGGGCCTTCAGGTGTTTCAGGGACCCCCGTGGGTAAGCCGTGTGGAGAGCTCTTAGGGTGAGGCTGCCCTGGCCGCCGCTGCATGGGAATGAGAAACCGTCTTTGCCTTGGACCCCCCACAGGTCCTGTGTCTTCTGTGTGTGTGTGTGTACACACATGTATGCATGTTTGCGTACTGTGTCTATGTGTATGTATACATGTAACATTTATGCACGTACACATGCAAATATGTGTGTAGTATGTACCTGTGTATATGCATGACTATGTGGATATGCATACATAGTACCTACTAATACATACATATATGTGTATCATATCTATATATCTGTATGTGTGTGGCATGCATACATGCATATATATAAGTGTATAGTATTTATGAATGTAAATAACATCTTATGAATATGTGTGTAGCATACACGTGTATCATACATGTGTATAATATGTAGATATCATAGATATCATAGATATACATATCTATGTGGTGTGTGTATATGTGTTTGGCATGTATCTGTGTACATATATACGTTGGTGTGATGTATGTGTGTATGTGTGGTATCCATATGTCTATAGCATGTATTTATGTACATATATATACACATATAGTGTTTCTATGTATATATGCATCATGTATCTATGTATGTAGCATGCATCTAACTCATGCATATGTGTACAGTGCATATCTACTCATGCATATTTGTAACATGTATCCATGTATGCATATATGTAGTGTTCATTACACATATAGTATGCACCCATGCATGCATGCATGCTGTGTATCTGCATAGTATGTATCTGTGTACATATGCACGTGTATAGGCAGGAATGATATGTATGTGTGTAGCATACATCTGTGTGTGCATATTGTATAGTATGTGTGTATATGTGAAGTATGCATCTAAGCATGATTGTGTGTGACGTGCATCTGGGTATGTATGTCATGTATCTATATAGTGTGCATCCATGCACATCCATGCACATATGTGTCACATGTATGTATATGTGCTGTGTGTAGTGTTAGTGGACATGTGCATATGTACATGAAATCGGTATTGTGCACGTGTTCACACGTGTAATGCACATTTGTGAGTACACATGTGTACACAAGTGTGTGTAGCGTGTGTGTACACTGGGGCCAGCCAGCCTGCGTGTGTGGCAGGACCGCACACTTGCACAGTTTCTGGGACCCACCCAGCAGTCCCTTCTCCCCAGCTTCCTGGGTCCCTGTCGCTCTGGCTGCTGTCCCCTTCGCTGGTTCCCCGTCATCTCCCAGACCCTGGGAGGGGCCCCCAGGCCTCGAGGCTCGGACGAACGTCTCCACACGCTCTCCACGTCATTTGCACAGCAACTCCTCATCTCCCGTGTCCGCCCAGCCCCTCCCCTGAATTCCACACGAGCTAATGGCGCCCAACACCCCCACCCGAGTCTGTGGGCACCTGGCTCCTCCCAGCCCTCCCTGCAGCTCTGTCTGCACCCCGCCTCTCCCTGGCCCTCCCCACCTCCGTGAGCACAGCCCCGTCCCTGGGGTGCTCAGTCATGACTGCGGGTGTCCCCATGCCCACCTGTCCCCACCCTCATCCTCCCCACCAGCAGCCGGCCGGCTGTGCATGCAACCCGCACCTGCACCCAGCCCCAGCACGCAGGTCACGGTGGCCCCCAAGGTGGCTTCCCTGTCCCTTCTCAGCCCTCCCCCATGGGTTCCAGGTATGACAGCCAAGGTGACAGAGGGCAGAAAACAAACTGTGTCCCAGAGCTGCTTGAAACCCTGCATGGTCCCAGCCACTGGAGGACCAATGCTGCCCAGAGGCAGGTCTGTCCTTGTGCCCTGCGATGTCCTGATGACAGCACCTGTTTCCCCTGGGGGCCTGGGACCACATCAGACCACCACGCCAATCCTGAGGTTCCCAGGGCTCCAGGCCACGCAGCCTCAGTGCGGCCCCTGGCAGTGCCGGAGACCGAGGTCGGCCGCATGCACAGTCAGCCACGACCAAGCCCAGCAAACCCACAGACCGAGGAGAAACATGTGCTGCCCACAGGACCCCACTGGGAGGACGCAGCCGGAAGCACATGCTTGGCGCCACCTGAATACTTCCTACACACCCCTCCCTGGGCTGACTGCGCCCTGTGTCCTTTCACTGCACTAACCCCACCCCTGAGTGCAGCGGCCTTGCCAAGTTCTGCGAGACCACCTGGGGACTGCTGAGCTCCCTGCCTCTCTGCACCGCGCCCACATCCCATGGCCCCAGCCTTTGACCGGGTAGGGGACAAGTGACACACACAAGGGCCTGTCCCTCAGGCCCCTGGCCCTACCACCAAAGGCCACGCGGGGCCCTCCCACAGCTCGTTTCTGCCCGGCGGCTCTTCCCTGACGCAGGGCCAGCACCCCCCGACGGGCCCCCGGGCCAGGGCGCACCTTTGTACCAGCTGACAACGGGCTTGGGGGTGCCCGTGACGCGGCAGGCCAGCTTCACCGTCTCGCCCAGCTCGGCCGTGCAGTCGGCCAGCTCCTCCTCGAAATCCGGGGGCCCTGAGGACACACGTGCGGTTCTGAGCACCCTGGGGGGCCGTCGAGCTCCGGACGCCTTAGCAGGCCACCCCACCCCATGCCGGGGGCCCCGAGTCCAAGGGTGCGGCTGCCTCGGGGACTGTCCTTCTGTGCCGTCCTTCACACAGGGTCCTAGAGGGACCGGGAGCTGCCGGCCGAGCACGGCCAAGCCGACACGGCGCAAGGGGGAGCCCCGGCCCACTCGGCCCTGGCCGGTCACTCACGCCACACGGGCTGGGCCAGGCGCTGCTGGATGCCGCAGATCTCCTTCACCCAGGCGTTCTTGGTGATGACGGTGCGCGCCTGCAGCAGGTACTTGCGCACCGAGTCCTCACGCTCATGCCACACCTCGAAGGCCCGGTCGTCCCCCTCCACCTGGTCGTTCAGGTCCACGCTGCTCAGCTGTGGGCGGGAGGGACGGGAGCTGACCGCCGCCTGCCAGGACAGACGCGGCACCCCGCGGGGCCGAGCCGCCACGCCCACCCCGGAGCAGGCGGGACAGGGAGGCGCCGCCCGCCCAGCACAGCCCCGCACCTTCATCATGTTCCGGAACACGTAGCTGAAGGTGTCGGTGCGCGAGTCCCGCCGGGGCTTGCAGATCACCAGGTGGTTGCGGAAGAGGAAGACGTGGCGGTTGTGGCCCTTCCAGGGCATGCGGGCCCCCGGCGCGCCCTCCCACACGATGAAGTGGCCCTGCGGGGTGAGCTCAGTCAGCCTGCGGTCGGCCGGGGCCCCGGGGTGCGGGCCTGGCGCCCCCCCCTCCCCCCCGAGTGCCCGGCGCCCCCGCCACCCGCCAGCGCCACGTGTGCACGCGGCCCCCGGCCCGACCTGGCGGATGGGCTCGCCCAGGGCCTCCAGGGTGCCCGGGTAGTTCTCCATGAGCGAGACGTGCAGCTTGTTCTCGGCGCGCTGCGGCAGGGCGGACACCACGGCGTAGGCCTGCTCCAGCAGCGCGCAGTTCTGCCCGCTGCGGGCCTTGTTGCGGATCAGCTCCTGGGGGCGCGGGGCACAGGGGTGTTAGGGCCAGGAGACCCGCCACGCGGGCAGAGGGGCCGGGCACGGGGCGGGCGCCGCGCACCTTCAGCAGGGCCTGGTACCGCTGCACGCGCTGCACCGGCTGCTCCAGGTAGTGCTGCAGCGGCGGCAATGGTGGCTGCGAGGGGTCCCCGGGCAACAGTGCCTCCTCTGCGTACTTCTGTGGGGTGCAAGGGCGGTTTCAGGGCGAGAACACACAAGCTCCCCCCAACCCGGCTGTGCCCCCTGAGCTGGAGGGTGGCCCCGGTGCACACGCACAGCCCCGCACCCCGGTCCTCTCCCTCTGCCCAGGTCCCGAGAGTCGGAAGGCAGCCTTCCGACGCAGGCCGGGGCGGCACGGGGCCCAGGGCGGGGCGGGCACCTTGTAGAACTCCTGCACGGCCGTGCTGAGCACCGCCGACTCGGCCTGCACCCGGCCCACCAGGAACTCCAGGTACTGCTCGAAGGCCGCCTGGTTCTTGATGAAGCACATGGCCACGTCGTCGTCCGTGCCGCACTGCTGCAGCTCCTGCAGGAAGCTGCAGGGAGGGCGTCGGGACCTGGCCGCGGTCCGCCAGCCCGCCCTGGGCCCTCACCTGCGGGAGGGAGCCCCGGCCCAGGGGCTGGGCCCTGTGGGGCTGTGGGAGTGAGCATACAGGCAGGCGTGTGTACGCAAGTGTGTGTGCCCATGCATGTGTGCGGTGTACATGGTGTGCTCCTCCATGTATACGCAGATATGTGCCGTATGCATGTGTGCATGTATGCACAAGTGGCACAGACACGAGGGTGTTCATGTACACATGTATTCAGGAATAGTGTGTGCACGTATGTGCGTGTGTATAACATTTATGCACATATGCACAGTTGTACACATGGGTATACACGTATGCACTTGCATAGCTGTGTGGGTGTGCAAGGGAGCTCAGATGTATGAGACATGTGTATACACGCGCACCCATGTGCACAGGTGTGCGCATGTATGTGGGTGCATATGTGTGTTGTGCATGTGTGCGCCGTGTACAGGGGTGTGCACTGTGTAAAGCCTGCGTATGTGCACATACATGTCCGTGTGCCTGTGTGCACAGGTGAGGGTGTGCGTGCATGCGGGCCGTGCACATGCACTAGCAGCAGGCATCCTGCAGGCCTTCCCACTGCAAGCCAGGTGCGCATGTCTGCGCTCCTGGGGGATGTCTGTGTCACCGTGTAGAGATGAGCCAGCACACGTTCTCTCCCCCCCACCTCCTGCCTGGCCCCCTGTAGCGGGCACACACGTGTGTGTGTGCGCACGCAGCCCTGCCCACCTGCTGTGGAAGCGGCTGATGTCCTGCACGTTGCGGAAGATGACGGCCTTCTGGCTGGCCACGGCCGCGGGCGTGTGGGGGCAGCGGTCCAGGTGCTGCATGTGGTGGCTCTGCAGGAACTGCAGCTTGTCCACGAACGCCTGCTCCGAGCTCAGCAGCTCCCGGATGGCCGAGCTGGGCAGGAGGGGCACGGCCGTGAGCGGAGACCAGCGGGCCAGGGCTCCAGCACAGGGTCGGGGGCACCGCATGGCTGCAGCGGTTTCCAGGGCTCAGCGGCAGGAGCCAGGGGTGGAGCCGGGGCCTGCTCTGCTCTCCTCTGCCCTGCCCCCCCTGACGAGGCTCAGGTGGATCAGAGAGGAGCCCGCAGAAGAAGAGCACGGCCAAGACCCCAGCCCCCAGGGTTGGGCCTGCACCCAGACAGGGACCAGCAGTCGCTGTGAGCGATGACCCAGCCGGCGGGACACCAGGGCTGCCAGCGCGGCCCACCGGCCACTCACCTCAGCCTGGTCTTGTACTCGTCTTCAGACACGGCCTCCCCAGGGAACTCGGGGGCCTCAGTGGGCCCCCACTCAGGCGACAGCTGGGGAGAAACAAGTTCATTGCAGGCGGTCTGGGCCCCCGTCCTGCCCGTGGGTGTTGGGCTCTCGCCCCTCAAATGGGGCAACCCCCGGGCCTCTCCAGGATCCCCAGGGCTCTCCTGCCTCCTCCTCAGCTGTCCAGTACCTTGAGCCTCTTGTCCAGGTAGGCGGGCGACACCCAGCCCTGCCGTGACGGGCTGGACTTGGTGGGCTTGGTGCGCACGAGCCAGCGCAGCGGGTGGGCTGAGTCGAGCACCTCCACGTACTGGCCCTCCCGCAGCGTGATGGCGTCTGGCTCGGCGCCCAGGGGCAGGTAGTCGGCCGTCACCACGTAGATGTCAAAGATCTGATGGGGAGGGGAGGGGCGGTCTGAGTCTGGGGAACCAGGGAGGTGCCAGCCAGGCCTGCAGAGCCCCGGACTGCAGGCAGGTTCCCCTGTGTGTGCCCTGCATAATTTTTTTTTTTTTTTTGAGACAGGGTCTCACTCCATCACCAGGCTAGAGTGCTGTGACGTTGTCGCAGCTCACTGTAGCCTCCGACTCCTGGGCTCAAGCGAGCCTCCTGCCTCAGCCTTCCGAGTAGCTAGGACTACAGATGCACACCACCACGCCTGGCTAATTTTTAAAATTCTTTGTAGAGATGCGGACTCTCTCTACGTTGCTCAGGCTGGTCTCAAACTCCTGGGCTCAAGTGATCCTCCCGCCTCAGCCTCCCAGAGTCCCGGGATCACAGGCGTGGGTCACCGCGCCCGGCCTCAGAATCATTCTGCACATGCACCTGTTCCCGCCCCTGTGCAGAACAGGAAACAGGGGTGACACCCTGACCCACCCTCCCCCGCTGAGGGACCACCACAGCCCCTGGCGTTGCCAGCCCAGGGCTGTCTACACTGAGCCTCGTGGTCACCTTCTCCCCATCACGCTCCCACCTGCCACCCCGAGACCTAACAGGTAGGAGCCTGGTACACTGGGGGCAGGAGACACATTCTCGAATGAATGAATGAACGAACGAATGACTCCACCGGGAGCCAAGTCTCTGCAGGCACCCGTGCGGGGAGGGTCCCGCTCCCACCGGTTCCTGCCTCCCGTGCGCCCAGGGTGGGGTCCCGCCTCCCGCCCCCCACCCCCTTCAGGGCTGAGCCCCCGCCCTGCCCCCGGCCGCCTGCCCACCTCCCCTCGGGGGTCGCCGTCCTCCGACTCCGAGGAGGATTCCTGGGCGCTGGAGGGGGGCCGCGAGCGGCCGTGCCTCGGGGACGCGGACGGCGTCCTGGACTCCTCGTCGCTGTCACCGCCCGGCACCTGCAGCTTGGCTGGGGCACAAGGACCGTGACACCCCCAGAGGGCCGGCCTGGGACCCCTCGCCCCGTCGCCCGCCAGTGCCCAGAGCCTCGGGAGCCCCGCTGCGGCCCCCCTCCCGGGACCCCGGCACGCCCGGCCCTCACCCTGCGTGATCTTGGCCGACACCATCTCGGTGATCTGCGAGGTGAGTTTCTGCAGGAACGCCTCCGTGCCCACCTCGGCGAGGGACCGGTGGCTGCGGCCCTCCTCGGCCACCAGAAGCTCTCCTGGAGTGCAACGCCCCACTAGATGGCCATGCACCCCCCACATGGTCACCATGCACCCCCACACGGTCACCATGTACCCCTCAGATGTCACCATGTACCCCCCACACGGTCGCCGGGCGCCCGCCGAGCTGCAGGCCCTACTGGGCTCTGCGCCACACAGCGAGCTCGGGGACGAGGCTCCCTCGCGGTGCTGGTGTCCGCAGAGGACAGGGAGACCAAGTGGCCAGCAGGCATGGGGCCAGCAGGGACTTGCCGGGACAAGGAGTCACACTGGCTATGGCGTCGAGCCAAGGTGTGACCAAGGGGACCAAGAGCAAGAGAAATCAGGTCCAGACAAAGGGCACAGTGGACACAGCTGAGGGACAGCAGAGGGGCAGCAGAGGGGCAGCCGAAGGACAGCCATGGGCAGCCGAGGGACAGCTGAGGGGCAGTGGCAGCCAGCGTGGCTGCAGGGCAGTGGTCGAGGGGCTGAGGACGCAGCCGGGTGGAGGCTGTGGGAGGCGCCCAGGGCTGTGGGGCCGAGCTGGGTTCGTCCCGCCTCTGTCTCGGCGCCCAGGCGTCCACGCCGCCTGCTGGACACGAGCTCTGGGCTGGGTGGCCGGGCCCAGGGGCCCCACAGCCTCCCAGACCCCCGCACCCCGAGGGGACATGCTCCCAGCCCGACCGTACCTTTCCGCTGCCCGGCAAGGCCCGCCAGACCCACAGGCTCCGCCACCTGTGCCGAGATGGCCTGCGTCGTCCTGCGGGGGGGGAGGGGGAGCGTCCTGAGGGCCTGGGCTGCCCGCCACCCTCTGCCCTGGGGCAGGAGCTCCCCACAGAACAGGGGTCTGGGGGCAACGGGCCAGGACACCGCAGCTGGGGGCTCCACGCCACAAGCCCCAGGGAAGCCCTCATTTTACATCGGGGAAACTGAGGCACAGAGAAGGGAAGAGGGCTGGCCCGAGTGGGGCAGAGCCAGGCCGTGTCCAGGGCAGGTGCTGGGCCTGGGGGCCAGCCGTGCCGTCCCGTTCCCCACCCCCAGGCGGCCCCACTCACCCCTGCAGGAAGGTGGAGAGAAGCGCCTCCTTCACCTGCTCCTGCTCCTGCTCCTTGGCCACTGTTGGGGCACCGGGGGCCGTCAGGACGGCGTCCGCACGTGGAGTCTCGCTCCGGGACCTGGGCGCCCCGGGTCCCCTCCAGAGCCCCTCCCCATGCCCCTCTCAGCCCGAGGTCACCCTGACGGTGACGGGGGGACAGGGTCTGTCCTCAACATGCAGCAGGCTCGGGAAGCAGGAGGCCTCGTGTGCGGCACAGACGGGGGTGGGGGCTCTGAAGCATGAGGCCCCCCAGCACCAGCCGGGCCCGGCCCGCCCCTGGGTTGCCCGGCGCTGTGGGAGAGGGCCCCCGCCCCGGTGGTGGGCACGGGCAGCGTGTCCCGGGGCTCTGGTGCACCTGTGTCTGCCTCCCACGCCCCACCCGGCCCCGCCCGGCCGCCCCGGCCCCGCACTCACGGCCGGAGATGTGCAGGCCGGCGGAGCAGAGCGCCTGGCCGGCGGCGTTGGTGGCAATGCAGGTGTAGGTGCCCTGGTGCTGGCGGCCCACGTCCAGCAGGACCAGGCTGTGCTGCTGGGCGGAGCTGGCCACCGTGTAGCCCGGCGTGTCGGGGCCGATCCACAGCACGCCCCTCCCGGCCTGCTCCCGGAGCCAGTGCACCGCGGGGGCCGGGCGGCCTGCGGGTGGGGGGCGGTGGGTAGGTCCCCAGGGAACGGGGCTCCCAGATTGGGGGGACCTGCCTCCCTGGGGCCGACATGAGTGGGGAGGGCAGCCCTGACCCCACCCCGGAGGGGGTCCCTCTGTGGTGGAGGGGTGGGGGGCGTGCAGGAGCCACCCTACCTTCCACCTTCACGGAAAAGGTGATGCTGGAGCCCTTCTTCACCGTCTTGGGCGTGAACCTCTCCAGGATGCGGGGCGGCACCAGCTGCTCACGAGCATCTGGAAGGCCACGGCCCAGCTGCTGGGGACCCCGGCGGCTTCCACCTCCCACGCCTGGCGGGCCCCGGGCAGCCCCACGCGGCCCCTCTGGCCAGCTGCTCCCTCCCGGCCCTCGCTGCGTCAGCCGCGCTCCCCGCACCTCCCACTGCAACCCTCCGTGCCCACCTGGGGCCGCCTCACCTGGCGCTGGCTTCTCTTCTGGCTCGTCAGGACCTGCAAATGGCGCAGAAGCGAAACGTCAGCACGCAGGGGTCCCCTGCCCGTGGCCACGCACCCCGTGCTGCGGCGCTGCCTGGCAGCCCGGCCACTCGCCTGGACCTCGGCCACGGAGCCACGGAGCCACGGAGCCCACAGTCAGGTGTAACCGAGGCCACAGGCCTCACGGCCCAGATGTGATGTCACAGACACCGCCCACTCTCGTCCCCGCCAGGGACTCTGGGGCCTCTTCAGCATCCAGGGCATTGCGTATGATGAGGAAGTGTGGGCCTCTGTCCCCAAGGCCACCACCACCATCTTGATCCACGTGCTTCTACCGAGCGCCCAGGGCTTCCCCACCTCCCGGGGTCGACTTCACCCGCCTGCCGGCCCAGCGGCCGGGACGAGGGCCCTGTGCTGCCCCCTGCAGTCACCCGTTCCCCGAGTGGCCAGCTCCCGGCCGCCACCCATGACACTCCGTGTGCAGGCGTGACAGCCGCCGGGCTCTGGCCCCCAGGCCCGGCACGGCAGGGCAAGCCGGGGGACACCAGCCCTGGTCTGGACGCCGCCCGAGGCCCAGGCTCTGCCCAGCCCCCGGAGCACCCACCTCGCACCAGCAGCCGGGCAGAGGAGTAGGCGGCGCCCACAGCGTTGCTGACGTAGGCCGAGTACTGGCCCGTGTCCTCCCGCGTGACCGAGACAATCTCCAGGGTGTGCAGGGTCTTCTTGTCGGCCATGCGGACGCGGGCAGAGGCGGTCAGGGGCTGGCCATCTTTGAACCAGTACAGCGTGGGTGCCGGGTAGCCTGGCCACGGAGCCGTGTGGTCAACACAGGGCCCCTCCGATGGCCGCTGTGCTCTCCAGATGGGGACAGGCGCAGGCCTGGAGACGGCCCCTGGGGGACCCCCCCCCCCGTGCTGCCAGGGACCCAGGGGCAGGCGCCTGGCATCACCTGACCCCCGCTGGCTGGTCTCCTCCCGACAGACCATGGCCCTCGGGGAACAGCCCCCTCCCCCACAGCAGTGCCCCGCCCCACCTTCCCTCTCACCTTTCACCTTGAGCTGGAACTTGGCCAGGCGCGTGCCAGGGGCCACCTGGAGGTCTTTCAGCTCCTCCAGCACCTGGGGCAGCTGGCCCTCGTCCGTGGTCGACTCCGTCCCCTCCTGCTCCCGGCTGGCAGGGGGGACAGAAGGCGAGGGTGGCCGTGCCGGGTGCAGGGGACTCCTGGGCCCTGACTGAAGGCTCAGGAGTTGGATCCTGCCACCCACCCCCTCAGCCTGGCACCGGCACTGCCCGCGTCCCCAGGCACGGCCCCTACCTGGACAGGTAGCCTTGGGCGCTGAAGTAGGACGAGGTCTCCGTGGCGTCGGCTGCAGTCTCGTAGTCTGTGCTCGTCACTGGGGAGGAAGAGCGCAGCTGGAGCAAGGCCTGCTGCCCGGCACACGGCCCCGCCCCAGGACCACCTCGGCCCCAGGTCCTGACCACGCAGCTTGCCGGGAGCCACGTCCACGCGGGAGCCCGGACGCCGCGAGGGGAACAGCCGTGTCGTGGCCTCTCCACGCCTGCAGTCGGGGCCCGTAACTAACTACGAGCCTCCGCGACCCAGCAGACTGAGTGCCGGATGACACGGAGGCTTCACAGGTGACACAGTGACAGTGGTAGAAGCCTTCAGTTCCGCCCTACCAGGGACCAAGGGAACGAAGCCACAGAGGCCTCAAAACCAACAGCTGGGGACTTGCATTTCTGGTCCGGGGGGAGTGGCAGGAACTGGACTTGCCCTGTGCTACGGATGGAAGATCTGTGTCCCCTCAAAATGCTTACGTTGAGACATTAACCCGCAGCGGATGGTGCCGGGGGGGGGCCTTCGGGAGGTGACAGGTCGTGAGAGTGGAGCCCCCAAGAATGAGATCAGCGCCCTCATGCAAGAGACCTCAGAGAGCCCCTCACACTCTGCAGGCACAGCCTCACACGCTGTGTCTTTTCTTCTGTAACATCTAATCTGCTCTCAGTCTCATCACTGCATTTTTTTATCCCTAGAAGTTCTGTTCGAGTCTTTTTAAAGATATTCCACATCTCTACTTAACTTTTTGAACACATGGAAAATAATTCTCATAAGTGTTTTTATTTATCTGTTCATTTATTAGATGGGGTCTCACTATTTTGCCCAGGCTGGGCTCAAACTCGCAATCCTCCCAACCTCAGCCTCCCAGGTAAGTAGCTGGGACTACACGCCACAGAGCCCTAGTAACTGTGTTAGTGCTCCCTGCCAGTTCTAACATCAGGGTTGGATTTTAACTTTTATTTCATTTTGTTTTTGAGACAGGGTCTTGCTCTGTCACCCAGGCTGGAGTGCAGTGTGTGATCATAGCTCACTGCAGCCTTGAACCCCTGGGCTCAAGCGAACCTCTCGCCTCAGCCTCCCCAAGTAGCTGGGACTACAGACATGTGCCCACACACCTGGCTAATTTTCCTTATTTTTTGCAGGGACAGGGTCTTGCTATGCTGCCCAGGCTGGTCTCAAACTCCTAGCTTCAAGTGATCCTCCTGCCTCGGCCTCCAGAAGCTCAGGGGTTACAGGTGTGAGCCACCGTGCCTGCCCTGCGTTGGTTTTGACTGATTGATTTTTCTCCACCTTATGGATCATATCTTTCTGCCCTCTCGCATGCCTGAGGATCTCTGATGGGGTGCTTGACATTGTGCGCCGGACCCTGTCGGGAGCTGGCTAGCTTGTATGTCTACGGACACGATGTATCCGAGAAAGACACAGTAAGAAGACCCACCTGCCACTCGGAAAAGCAGGCCCACACCAGAACCCAGCCACACTGCACCCTGATCCCAGGCTTCCAGCCTCCAGAACTGTGAGAAGTAAATCTCTGCTGTTTATAAGCCACCCAGTCCACGGGACTTTCTTAGAGCTGCCCAAAATGACTAAGGCATCCTCCCACCTAAAACAGTTGGAAAAAAAGACAAAACACATGAAACAATGGTTTTCAAGTCACTGGACACTAAACAAATGAAGGGCATTGATCTCTTAAAGATAGGAAGCAAAGGCAAGCCCTAGGATTGCCTCAGCTTCCTGCCTTGTATTTCCAGGCCCAGGAAGGGGAAACTGAGGCATAGCCAGGCAAACTCCTTGGGCTGAGGAGATGAAGCTGAGAGTCCTGCAGGGCAGGGCAGCTGGTGTTCACAGGACAGGACTGGAGGAGAGAAAGCTGTGCAGAGAGGGGGACCCCCCCCCCACCGAGGCTCTGCAGAATGCTGACTACCGTACACAGTGGGGAGAGGATCAGGGGAAAGTGCCGGGTGCAGGCCTGTCCCCACCAGTAAGACTGGAAAGGGCCACAGCCCACAGGGCACTGACTACAGCACTCGGAGAGCTCTCGCCTCAGGAGTGGGAAATAATCAGCCCAGACCGAGCACGGCTCTACACTCACCAAAGAAATCATAAAAGCCAGATCTGAAAGAGTAAGAATAAAACTGCTTCCAAGTATCTTAACTGTATTCCTGAACAAAGCTCAGGAATATCTATAGAAATAGAAAATATCCTCACAGGGTAAAATTCACAAATGTCAATCATCCAATCAAAGATCCTACATGTGCAGAGAGGCAGAAAACACGACCCATAATGTGGAGAATAATCAACTGAAACCCCCCAAACTGACTGATTTAGAACTGGCAGAGGAGGACACAGATCAGGTATTAGAATTCTATTCTCTGCACTCAAAAAGTTAAGTAGAGGCATAAAATATATAAAAAAGACTCAAGTAGAACTTACAGAAACAAAAACATACAATCAGTTGTATGTTAATAGGTTAGATATTATAGAAAAAAGATGGTGAATATAAAAACACAGTGATAGAAACTATGCAAAATGAAATACACAGAGAAAAAAATAATTTTAAAAAGTGAAAAGAGCACGGCTTCACGTGGCTTAATATACATGTGACTGAAGTCCGCAACTGAGGGCAACAGAAAAAATATTTGAAGAAAGAACGGCCACAAAAACTTCAAACTTAATGAAAACAATAAACTCACAGTTCTGAAAAGCTCAGGAAAGTCTAAGAACAAAGAACACGAAGAAAAATAAACCAAGGCACCTCATAATCAAGTTAATCATAACTATTGGTTAAAAAAATCTTTAAAAATTATCTAGAGATCTTCTGTGCAGAATGTGACAAACTGATGCTAAAATTCATATGAAAACACAAGGGACCTAGTATGGGCATAACAGTCTTGAACAAACAAACTTGGAGGATGCATACTCCCAATTTCAAAACTCAACAGAGAGCTGGAGTAATCAGGACGGTGTGGTACTGACATAATTGTAGACATTCAGACCAACAGAATAGAATTTAGAGTCACTAAGTAAACTCGTACATCCCAAGGAAATTAGCTTTTGACAAGAACTTCAAGACAATTCAATGAGGAAATAATCTTCCAACAAACGGTCCTGGGACAACCAGACGTTCATATTAAAAGAATAAATTTGGGCCCTTACCTCACACCATATATGAAAAATAACTGAAAATGGATCAAAGACCTACATTTAAGAGCTACCATGAGCATAGGTGTAATCTTTACAGCCTTGGATTAGGCAGTGGTTTCTTAGAAATGACAAATAAAGCACAAGCAGTCAAAGGAAAAGTAGATAAATTGGACTTTGTTAAAATTTAAAACTCCTGTGCCTCTCAAGAAAGTCCTTCAAGAAAGTAAAAAGGCCAGGCGCGGTGACTCACACCTGTAATCCTAGCACTCTGGGAGGCTGAGGCGGGCAGATTGCTCGAGGTCAGGAGTTTGAAACCCCGCTGAGCAAGAGCAAACCCATCTCTACCATACATAGAAAGAAATTAATTGGCCAACTAATATAAAGAAAAAATTAGCCGGGCATGGTGGCGCATGCCTGTAGTCCCAGCCTACTCGGGAGCTGAGGCAGAGGATCGCTTGACCCAGGAGATTGAGGTTGCTGTGAGCTATGCTGACGCCACGGCACTCACTCTAGCCTGGCAACAAAGCGAGATTCTGTCTCAAAAAAAAAAAAAAGTAAAAAGACAACCCACAGATTGAGAAAGTACTTGAAAATCCTATATCTGATCAAGGTCTCAGATCGAGACCACATGAAGAACTCTTACAACTCAAAAACAGACAACCCCGTTTAAAGAAGGGAGGAGGACTTGAGTCGGTATTCCTCCCAAGCAGACATACACACGGTCGGTAGGTGTATGAGAAGAGGCTCCACGTCACCAGTGAGTGGGAAACGCAAACCAAAGCCACAATGAGACGTGGCCTCACGCCTGTCAGGATGGCCACAATCGTAACAAAGAACAACAACGAGCCCTGGCAACGATGCAGAGAAACCAGAACCAACCCTTGCACACTGCTGACAGGAATGTAAATTGAGGCAGTTGTCATGGAAGAGTTTGGCAGCTCCTCTAAAAGTTAAATGGAGTCACCACCTAACCCAGCAACTCCACTCCCAGGTATATACCTGAGAGAATTAAAAACAGATGGTAGCACAAACACTTGCACACAATTGTTCGTAGCCGCATTATTCATAATGGCCAGTCGATGGATAAACATCATGCAAGGAATGTATAAGTACTCTATATACAATGGAAGATTTGTCAGCCATAAAAGCGTATAAAATAATAATATAAACCACAACACGGAGGGGCCTTACTGAAAACATTATGCTCCGTGGACGAGGTCAGACCCAGATGGCTGTGCGTTGTAGGATTCCATTTATAGGAAACCCAGGACAGGCAGATCCAGAGAGACAGCAAGTAGATTAGTAATTTCCATGGCTGAGGGGAAGAGAGAGTGGGGAGTGACTGCCAATGGTTTCTTTTTGGGGAAGACGTAAATATTCTGGAATTAGATATTCCAGGACATACTATTAGATAGTAGTGATGGTTGAAAAACTTTGTAAAGACTCCAAAAACCACTCCTCATACATTTTTATTTTTATTTTAATTTATTTATTTTTTTTTTTGAGACAGAGTCTTGCTTTGTTGCCCAGCTATGAGTGCCATGGCGTTCAGCCTAGCTCATAGCAACCTCAAACTCCTGGCTCAAGCAATACTCCTTGCCTCAGCCTCCCAATAGCTGGGACTACAGGCATGCGCCACCATGCCCGCCTAATTTTTTGTATATATATTAGTGCCAATTAATTTCTTTCTTATTTTATAGTAGAGACGGGGTCTGCGCTCTTGCTCAGGCGGTTTCGAACTCCTGACCTCGAGCAATCCGCCCGCCTCGGCCCCCCAGAGGCTAGGATACAGGCGTGAGCGCACCGCGCCCGGCACTCCTCATACATTTAAAGTGAACTTATGACTGGAAATGAATATCTAAAAAAATGTAAAATGCCTATATGCAAGATAACTTTCTTACAGAGAGATTCAAAGACAAGACTGACATCTGATTTCTCCTCAGAAACGATGCAAGCTAGAAAGCAGTGGAACAACATCTTTCAAGTATGGAAAGAAAAAAAAAAAAAGAGTGCCCTAGCAAAAATATCGTTCAAAAACAAGAGTGGAATAAAGACATTTTCAGACATACAAAAGCTGGAAAAAAAAAATCCCAGTGTATCCACACTACAAAAATGCTCAAAGAGGTCCTGCAGACAGAAAGAAGATGACACCAGATGGAAATCTAGATCTACACAACAGAATGAAGAGCTTGGAAATGGAGCTCCATGGGGAGATACATAAGATCTTTTCATACTAAAGACCCCTGGGCCCCGGTCCTCACACACTAGCTAACGATCTGTGCCCTGTGCCAGCCTGCTGTGCTAGGTGCTTCACCTGAATCAACTCACTTAACCCTCAGGCCTGTGCCACGGGATCATTCCCATGATCTCCCTCGTCCCGATGAGGAAGCTGAGGCATCGAGAGAGGAAGTGGCTTGTCCCGTATCACAAAGCTGGCCGGTGGCAGAGCCAGAATCCGAACACGACTCGCAACACGCCCAACACCAACTAGGCACCTGACAAGTTCATTCGGTTCCGACGTTCACCGCCCAGAGTTGGCACAGACCCCTCCACACGTGGCAAAGGGCTCAGCCCACCCAAGACTGTCCCTGCTTGAGATGCCAGCTGCGAGTCCCAGGTTGCCACCCGGCTTTCTGACCGACGGGCTACAACAGAGGCTCCCACAACCCACTGTGTTTGGCGACTTGCTAGAGCTCATGCGACACAGGCAAGGGCTTTACTCACAGCTACTGGTGTGCTGTGGAGGCTGTGACTCAGGAACAGCCAGACGGAAGAGACACTCTACTCCGGGCAAGGCGTGAGGGAGAGGAGCAGAGCGGCTGTGCCCTCCCCGGGTGCACCAGCCCCTCCAGGTGTTCGCTGACCTGGAAGCTCCCACCCCCTGCAGCGCGGGGGTCTCATGGGGGCTTCAGCAGGGGGCAGGGCCAATCATCAAACCAATCTCAGCAGCCCCTCCCTCCCCAGAGGATGGGGACGGAGATGAACATCTCAGGCTTCTAATCAAGGCTGGTCTTCCTGGCAACCAGCCCTGACCCTGACGCTATCTGGGGCCACCAAGAGTGGCCTCATTAGAACATAAGATGCTCCTGTGACCCAGGACATTCCAGGGGATTTGGGAGCTCTGCGTCAGGAACTGGGGACCAAGATCAAACACGAAAAGATCTCATGACGCCACAGCACACCAGCCACCACGCCCAAGCTTCTCCTGAGAGGCTTGCTCATCCCCCACCTGCTGTCTCCACACGGGACACTAAGGGGCATCTGGGTTGGCTGGGTTCACCCTTCCTGCCCCTCGCCTCACCCCACTGCCTAAGGCCTACTTACAAAGCTTCCTGCTCCTCTCCCAGCCTGGAGGCCTCTCAGAGGGGTGGGAGCCCTCTGCACGCCCCATGCCCAAGGAGCTCCAGCGGGGCCTGGTGGTGGTCCTGGCTCCCAGGGAGCCCTCTCCCAGCCGGGCATGTCTGAGACACCAAGGCCCCTCCTCCTCCCCGGCCTGAGACACATGCTCTCTGCACCACCCCCCGGCCACAGCGCCGCACACCCGCCCAGAGACGCCACACGGGACGGCAGACTCACGGTCCACCCGGAGCTCAGCCTTGGTGGAGGACACGCCCACGCTGTTTTCGGCCAGGCAGCGGTAGACGCCCATGTCCGCGGGCACCACGGCCGTGATGATGAGCTGGTGGCCGCCCTGCTGGTCCTCGTTGATCATGTAGTGGTCGTCCTCCTCCAGCAGCTTCCCGTCCTTGAACCAGCGCACGCCCGGCAGGGGCTGGCCCGTCACCACGCAGTCAAAGCTCACGGGGTACCCGTCCTGCACTTCCTGGTTCTGCAGCTCGGTCAGGAACACCGGGGCTGGGACAGACAGGCAGGGCCCAGGTCACAGCGACCATAGCCGCACATACATGCAGGTCCCCACCAGAGGCTGGTTTGACACACATGCTCTGCATGGCAAGCACCCCTGAGGGGACACCTGCAGCCCCTGACGGGACGGTGTCTTTGCCTGCCACGCCTCTGCCTCTCCCTCGTTCTCTAAGAATCCTCTCTTTGCCAGCGTGGTTCCCAAGCTGCTGTGAGGCCAGAGGGCTAGACGGCTGGGAACGGAGAGGAAAGGGGAGACACGGCAAAGATCAAGGCTGTGTGGGCTGGGGGTCCAGGAGGAGCAGGGGCGAAATTTGAACGAAGGGAGTGGCTCAAAATTGGAAAGAAGTTTTAAGAGGTGATGCTGTCGATCCTTTATCATACTCCTTAACATTCCTAGAGAGACACAAGTAAATAACAGCGTGACTTTTCAATTACTCTGAAATGCTGGGATCGGACCACGAGGAACCCCATGTTTTACACGGGCCACACCTCAAAGGCTCATGAAAAGAATATCTAGGCAGTATGTGCAATCAGCCTCGAACAACATGTATGTGATATTTGAACTGCAGGGGTCCGTGTACACGCAGACAGCTTTCAACCACAGCGGATCTCAAAACACGGTGCTTGTGGGACTCGAAACCCACATGTGTGGGTGGCTGACTCTGTACGGGCAAGTTCTGAAGGGTCACCTCCGGGACTCGGGCACGTGCGGATTTGGGTATCTGCAGGGGCTCTGGCACCAGCCCTCCGTGGATGCTGAGGGACAACCGCGTCTGCGGTTCCATTTCAGGGGAGTGAAAGCTGAGGCTCAGAGAGGCGGAGCAGCTTTCCCCAAAGCACAAGGCTAGTAGGAGACAGAGGCGGGATCCGAGTGCAGCTCTGTCCAGCCCCCAAGTCGGAGCTTCCCGCGGCACAGCGGGCTGCCCCTCCAGAGAGCCTGGTGCGGGGGCTCAGCAACCCCTCCAGCTTTCTGCTGACTCTGGCCACCGCAGCCCCGCACGCCCGCCTCCCTGCGTCTGGCCCAGCTCCCCGGCCCCGCGAGGCAGCACGCAGGCTCACCGGCTGCATCGGCAGTCAGCAGGCTGGGCACGGGCTCCTGGGGCGCCGCGGGGGCGGGGGCCACCTTGCCGATGCGCATCTCCACCCCGCGGGGCCCCTGCTCCGAGAGGCTGATCTCCACCCCGATGCCCAGCGTGGCGAACATCTCCTGGAAGCGCGTGACTGCCCGGCGGGCCTCGGGCAGCGCCTCAAAACGGATGCAGACAAAATGCTCGTCCTCGCGGTACGTCTGCCAGTCCGCAGGCTCCTCGGGCTCCGCGGGGCCCTCGTCGGCACTGAGGAAGAGCTCCTCGTCCGACACCTCGGCGGGGCCCTTGGCGCGGAAGAGCCGGTGCAGCCTCCGGGCGGCCCGGCGGAAGGCGTCGTCCAGCTCGCCGCCCGACGAGCTCTCGGCCTCGCTCTCCGTCCCGCTGACCACCACGCAGGCGCTGTGGGCTGCCCGGCCAAACTGGTTGCTCACCTGACAGGTGTAGCGGCCAGCGTCGGCGCGGCCCACGCCGGTGACCAGCAGAGAGCAAGTGCCGTCCCGCTGCTGGTCGATGTGGTGGTGCCGCCCGTCCCTCAGCTCCGTGCCGTCCTTCAGCCAACAGGCCCGCACGTCTGCCTTGCTGGACACCACGCACTCCAGCCGCAGGGCGTCGCCCACCTGTGCCTCAGTGTCCCCGAATGTGCGGGAGAACACTGGCCCTTCCTGCTGCTTCATCTCCTTCCGGACCTTGTAGCCCTTAAAGGCAGCCTGGATCTTCACGGCCGCCTTGTCCATGGAGGGCTCACCCAGGTCCTTGGCACCCAGGTCCCCCGGCAGTGGGAACATGGCAGGCAGCCGCTCCTGCTGCTTCTGTGGCTTCGTGGAGGGGGCTGCTGGGGCCTCAACCTAGGGACACAGGGCCTGGTGTCATGGTAAGGCAGGGAAACTGAGGCCAGGAATAGGGAAAGGGGACTAGTGCAGGACACACACGGGGAGGGGCCAGCTCCAGGTCTTGCTCTAGCACATTGTTCTGCCTCCCGCCCACCGGAAACTGCACGAGGTTTGCCCGGGTGCCTGATGGCACCTGCTGCTGGCATAAAGCAAGCCCCCTCCCACAAACTGCTTTCCACAGTCACCCACACGTGGCGAATGCAGTTGTGAGGATCACCACGGAGAGACCACTTTCGAATCAGGGAAGAGTTTTAACAGCCAGGTGGGGCAGGGTAGATGGATGGCAGATGGGTAGATAGGTACATGCATGGGTGGATGAAAGCATGGCTGAATGGGTGAGCAGGTGGACGAACGGATTAATGGTCGGGTGGATGGATGGATGAAAGCATGGCTGAATGGGTGAGCAGGTGGATGAATGGATTAATGGCTGGGTGGATGGTTGGTGAATGGATGAAAGCATGGCTGAATGGGTGAGCAGGTGGGATGAATGGGATAATGGTCGGGCGGGATGGGATGGATGGATGAAAGCATGGCGCTGAATGGGTGAGCAGGTGGATGAATGGATTAATGGACTGGGTGGATGGTTGTGTGAATGGATCGAAAGCATGGCTGAATGTGTGAGCAGGTGGATGAATGGATTAATGGTTGGGTGGATGGTTGGTGGATGGATGGATGGATGGATGAAAGCATGCGTTGAATGGGTGGCAGCAGGTTGGATGAATGGTTCATGGTCGGGTGGATGGATGGATTAAGCCATGGCTGAATGGGTGAGCAGGTGGATGAATGGATTAATGGCTGGGTGGATGGTTGGTGAATGGATGAAAGCATGGCTGAATGGGTGAGCAGGTGGATGAATGGATTAATGGTTGAGTGGATGGTTGGTGATGGTATGGCATGGGATGGAAAGCAACCCCCCCCCCCCCCTTGGTTGAATGGGTGAGCAGGGTGAGAGAATGGATTTAATGGCTGGGTGGATGGTTGGTGAATGGATGAAAGCATGGCTGAATGGGTGAGCAGGTGGATGAATGGATTAATGGTTGAGTGGATGGTTGGTGAATGGATGGATGGATGAAAGCATGGTTGAATGGGTGAGCAGGAGGATGAATGGATTAATGGTTGGGTGGATGGATGGACAGATGTAGGAATAGATAGATGGTAGATAATGGATGGTTGGATGGATAGAGAGTTGAATGATAGATGGTGGATGGAGAATGGATGGTTGTACGGGTAGATGGATGGATAAACAGGGTGACAGATAAATAGAACAGGTAAACAAATACAGGAATGGATCATAAACGAACAAATGGATGGTAGATGAATGATGGGTGAATCAATAATGGGTGGAGATAGATGGGTGAATGGATGACAGATGGTTGCATGGTTGTGGGTGTGATAAACAGGTAAACAGGCATGGGAAGAGTAGATGGATGGTACATGGGTGGCTGCACGAAAGCACAGTGCATAAATGATGGATGGATGCATGAATGGATAGATGGTGGATAGATGACGGGTGGATAAATATCAGATGGGTGGATAGATGGATGGATGGATAAATGTCAGATGGGTAGATAGACGAATAGATGGAAGGAAGGATGGATGCATGGATGGATAGATGGAAAGAAGAAAATGCATATATGAAAAATGGATGATAGAATAGTAGACAGATGAATAGATAGAAGGAAAGAAAGCTGGATGTATACAAGGATGGATGGATGGTGAATGAATGAGAGATGAAAGGAAGTATGGATGGACTGATGAATGGATGTGTGGACAGAGGATGAATAAATAGGTGAAAGAAAAGAAGGATTAATGGATGGAAGAAGAAAGAATGGCTGCATGGTAGGAGGAATAGTGGATGAAGGGAAGGAAGAATGGATCGATGGATGGATAGAAAGATGGATGTATGCACGGAAGGAAGAACAGAAAGGAAAGAAGGATGAAAGAATGGATATATGGATGGATAGGTGGATGGAAGGAAGGATGGATGGATGGATGGATGAAGGGATGAAAATAAGGATGGATGATAGAAGAGGGAAGGAAGAATGAATGTAGGCATGGATGGAAGAAAGGAAAGAAGGATGTGTCAATGGAAGGAAGGAAGAATGAATGGATGGATGGAAAGAAAGATGTGTGGAAGGATGGATGGATGGACACATGGGTGAGAAGAAGATGAATGGAAGAAGCAAGGAAGGAAGAACGGATGTATGCATGGATGGAAAGATGCATGGATGAATGGAAGGAAGGAAGGATGGTTAGATGGACAGTGAAGGTCTCGGACTTCTCCTTGCAGACCAAGTGGGGGCTCACCTTGCTGGCCAGCGGTGAGGTGCCGGGCTTCCCAGCCTTCTTGAGGTAGCCAACCAGGGAAGGGGTCCCCGCCCGGGACTCGTCGTCAGAGCTGGTGTGCGAGAGGTCAGCCTCTCCGGTGCGCGCCAGCTCGTCGGCCGTGGAGTAGTCCTCGGAGAGGTCGGGGGCTGCCTCCTCCACCTCCTGCCGCGGGCGGGGCGAGCGGCCGTCCTCCTCGGGCAGCTCGCTGATGGAGTCCAGTGTGGGCTCGCGGCTCATGCGGCGCTTCCGGGCCAGGGCCTCCCACAGCAGGTGCAGATCGCCCTCCTGGGCAGCCTCGGGGGGCAGGCTGGGCTGCAGCGGGGCCTCATCCCCGGACGCGGGGTTCAGCACCACTGGGGGCGGGGGGCAGGAGACTGGTCGGCTGGCCAGGACAGAGCCACCACACCAGGCCCACCTGGCTGCAGACTGGTACATGGACCAGGCTGTGGCCTCCCTGGACCTCTGCTCCCCGCCTGGCACTAGGTACTTCCGACAGCACAGTCTCTGCAAGTCGTAGAGGCTCTGAGCCTCAGCCCCGCCACACGAAGCGGGGTCTCAGTCTACCTCCCGTACAGGGCACGCTAGGACTCCGCAAAGTCAAACTGGTCTTACTTGAGCCCTCCCTGGCCCTGCTGCTGGGCGGGAGACCCAGACCCACAAGGGACCAGCCACCGCCCAGGAAGCACCCACACCAGGCTCAGAGTGCAGGGCAGAGAGAGCATGGGGAGGGACTAAGCACTGGGGGCGGGAGGGGCCAGACCCAGAGTCCAAGGGCACAGTGCACATGGGGACGAGAAGGGGGAACTGTGGGCTGCGTCCGCTAGGACCCCATTGGGGAAGGGGGAGGCCAGCCTAAGTCACCGAGGCCCAGCAACATGGGGCCCCCCGCTTCTCCTCACACTTGTCTCCTGAGGCCTGACACAGGCCCCCCAGGAGGACCCTCCCCCCACCCCTGGGAGAGCTGAGGAGGAAGGCTGGGCCACACCCCCACACCCCAGACCTGAGAAGGTGAGGACATACCCTGGAACGTGGCAGCCGGGGTGCAGGCAGGACCCTGGGTAGGGACGCAGCGGTACTCGCCCTGGTCTTCCGCCGTGAAGCCCCTGATCACCAGCATCTGCCGCTGTCCCTGGGAGACCACCTCGAAGCGCCCGCCTGGCTGGATGCGCTCCGTGCCCCTGTGCCAGACCACCTCGCCGGCCTCGGCTGCCACCTCTAGCTCCAGGCACACGTCGTCGCCGTCCGCTGCCTGCCGCGTCTCCGGGGCCGCGGGCGCAGGTGGCACGGGCGTCAGCGGCTCTGGGGGGGACAGTGTCCACGGTCGGCAAAGACGCACCCCAGGGTCCAGCCCACCCCCTCCCCAGACTCCCTCTGGCCTCCAGCTCAGGGCCGCTGCAAACGCCCCAGGCCTGGGGTGGTCACTCACCGAGCCGGACCGTCTGGGGCAGGTACACCGGCTCCCCGGCGCCCGCTGGGCCCACAGCGGCCACACGGAAGCGGTAGGACCCCCCAGGGGCCAGGCCGTCCACCGCGCACTCGGGCCCAGGCACCAGTTCGTGGCACAGCCGCCACTGGCCCGTGGCCCCCTCCTTCACCTCCACACGGTAGCCGCAGAGACCAGCACCTCCGTCACTCGTGGGAGCCACCCACGACAGCGTCACAGAGTGGCTGCTGCGGCCCACCACCTCAGCGTCCTCTGGGGGGTCAGGGAGGCCTGCAGGGCAGAGGCGCTGCTCAGCCCGCAGCTCCCTGGCGGCACCCGCTGGTGCCTACACCCCCCCCCCCCCGTGGCCCCAGGGTCTGACGCGGGAGGTAGAGTAAGCACGGGTGGGGTCCTCCTCCCTAGACCCTTGTGCCCCGGGGCCCAGCCTGTTTCAGGGATCCAGGGACATTGCCAAAATCCCGGAGGCTGGGGCACTTGGGTCGTGCAGGGAGACCGTGCCCAGAGCCTATGTAGCAAGGGGGTCCATGGAGCAACCACAGAGTCTCCGGGGCTAGACCCCTCCTTCCTCCTGTGCCCCCAGGCTGGGCGCAGATCTGCGCAGAGCAGAGAGGAGGGAGCCCCAGGCCTGCCGGTTCACAAAGGAACACACCTGGCCAGCGCGGCCCTCCCAGACGGGGCCCTCGGGCAGAGCCAAGCCCCAAGTTCTCCAGCCGGGCGGATGCGCACCGGACCTAGCCCTGGACAGTCACCCAGACACCCAGGAGCTCTGCAGGCGGGGTCCTGCCCCAGACCCCACCTGCAGGGCAAGGACTTCGCCCACCACGCACCCAGCACGGTGAGCCGCGCGGAGGCCAGGGCGTCGCGGCAGGCAAAGGTGACCTCCCCCGCGTGGTGCGGCCGGGCTCTGCGCAGCAGCAGGGCGTGGTGGCTGCCGTCCGCGGTGACTGTCCAGTCGGCGTCGTCCGGCTGCACCGCGGCCCCGTTGATGTACCAGCATGCGTCGCCCACGGGCACCGCCTCGCTGAGCGTGCAGCTGAAGCTGGCCTGCGCCCCAGCGAGCACCGCTGCGTCCCGCGGGGCCTCCAGGACCTGCAGGCGCCAGCCTAGGGGTTGGGGTGGAGGGAGTGAGTGCTGCAGGGGCTTGGGAGGGGCTCCGGAGGAGGGACTCAAGACCCCACCGCCTTCCCCTCAACCACGGTAGGGCAGGAGACACCCCCCTCCAGGCCTCTCAGAGCCCGGGTGGGCGTGGCCTCGGGGACCGCCCCCTCCCCGCCCTCCGCTCACGGAGCAGCGAGCGCCCAGCTTCCTGCGGGAAGCGGTCTTGGAGACCACGCCCCCACCCCTCCAAGCGCCGCAGAGCCTCTGGTGGGAGGGGTCTGGAGACCCCGACCCAACCTCGTGCTGTCCCCTCCTCCGCACCCCCGCAGCGCAAGGGGCTCAGACAGGGACCTCCGCCCACTCTGCAGCCCCCAAGCCCCGCACCCACTGAGGCCAGCCCAGCCTCCTGCGGGAGGGGTCCCAGCGCCTCCCCCGCACCGGCCCGCGCAGTCACCTCTGACCGTGAGGAAGGCAGAAGTCACCATGTCCCCGGCCAGGAAGGTCACCCGGCAGCTGTCCTGCGGCCGCAGGTTTTTGAGCAGGAGCAGGTGCCGCAGGCCGTTCTCGAAGTAGACCACCTCGGCGTTCTCAGAGGTGCGCACCGGCTCGTCGTCCAGCAGCCAGGTGTGGGCGGCCACCTCCGGCTGGGACAGCTGGCACTCGAACAGCGCCTCACCGCCCTCGGGCGCCTCCACGTTCTCCAGCCCGCGCACCACTGTGTTCTTGGCTGCGGGGAGAGGGAGGCTCAGGGCGCGCCGGTGCCTCCAGGCCTCCCCCACACCCACCCAAACACTGTCCCTTGGAAGAGTCCGAACACTACAAAAGGCCAAACGGAACGCCCTTCCCCAGCGACCTTCAGGAGGGCAGCACCCAGCACCCACGCGGAGCCGCCCTGAGCGCCTCCTTGGTCGCCCCGCGCACCCTGCCCAGCCCACGCTGGCACCTCCCGCCAGCACCAGGCTCCTGACCTCGCAGGCCAGAAACCCGGCAGACCAGACACTGGGCACCGCACAACCGGGCTCAAACCCGGCCGCGAGGCTCGCAGCTGGGCTGTGCACGCTGCCCCGCCTCAGCTGCGGCGTCTGGAAGCCCGCGCCCCACCAACAGCACTGCTCGGCCACCGCTGCCTCCTGCAATGCCCCCTCACACTCTCGCTGACGGGAGGCCGCCCCCCCCAATCCACCGTCCCCCCCTAATTCCGTGCATTTCACAGAAACCAGGCCAATAACTGGCCACACACTTCTCAGGAAGCCACGCGCTCAGCGACTGGACACGCCCTGCCTGGCTACGGCCTGTTCCTGGCACCGCGAGCTTGCCACCCAGGGCCTGTTTCCTCCCCCAGTGGCTGCCTGCCCCACCGCCCCGGCTGCTGCCACCTGCCATTCCGCCATCATTGCACAGACACAGTCTTGCCAAAGCCGCCAAAGCCACGCCGGCCGGGCTGTGCGCCAGGCGGCCTCACCTCGCACTTGCAGCAGGGCCACCACGCGCGTGCCCGCAGCCTCGCAAGAATAGATGCCACTGTCACAGGGCAAGGCCGGCCTGAAGATCAGCCTGGCCACGTTCCAGTCCTGCTCTATGACGACGCGGCGCCCGTCCGCGCACACCTCGCGCGCGTCCATCTTCCATGTCGCCCGTACCGGCAGCGAGTACTGGCAGAGGAGCTCGGCCGAGCCGCCCTCCTCCACGGCCAGGTCCCGCATGGCACTGACCACCTCCACCACGGGATCTGTCAGCCAACACGCCGGACACACGTCAGCCCCCAGAGGCAGGGCCAGCTGGGCCCTCCCGCCCACCCGCACCTGCACCCGCACCCGTGGCATCAGCAGCTTCAGCAGCGGCAGCAAGCGCAGAGCTGCGGTGCACAACGGCTGAGCAGTGCCCGCGGGCAACGGCCCAGGAAGGGGCACCCACCACGGCAGCCGGGGCCGTCCCTGCCGGACACACCTCGCCCCACCCGTGGCAGACAGCACTGTCCAGGTGGGCCCTCGTGGCCCCCTCTGCCCCACCTCCCTCCGACCCAGGGTACACTGCCCCAGCAGGGACACCCCCAGCAAGGTCTCCCCACGAAGGCCCCAGGCCCTGGCTCGGGACCCAGAACCTCAGCCCAACTCGCCCCTCTCCAGGGACTTTGCCGCCCACCTTCGGCCCCCATCCCATCTCCACCTGTCGAAATCCTACGCAACACATGGTTGTTTGCCCAGAACTCGGGTAAACCTTCCATGTTTTCTATGACAGCACAAGCCACCGGGAGGGGCTTCCTGTGTGGCCAGCTCTTTCCCAGAAGGGCACAAGCCGGCACGGAGCCCACAGCGGGGAAGCAGAGCAAGCGGCGACAGGCCGGGCAGGGGCTGCTCCTGCCTCCACAGGGCACTGGGCTTCGTGGCTGGGCACATGTGGCCAGCAAGGCGGTGGCCAGGTGGGCATGGGGTTGGTCTCCAGCCAGACTGCTCCCCAAGCCCAGACTTCTCATTCAGGAAGCAGGACAAGGGCCACCACCCCCCGTGCCCACCTGGGCCGCCCTGGGCAGCCAGTATGCATGGAGGGGTGACCGGCCCGTGGCCCTGGAGGCCAGTCCCGGGCACCTGTGCCAGACGGGAGCCCGCGGGAAGCATATGTGAAAAGCAGAGGCAGAAGTGCCAGCATGGGAGGTCCCGCCGGCCAATACCTTTGACCAACAGCTTGGCCGTGGAGACCAGGGGCCCCGCACGGAAGGTGATGGTGCCCGAGTCTGCCACCCCCAGGCCTGAGAGCGTGAGGGAGTGAACGGTCCCGCTGCGCACAGCAATGGCGCTCTCGGGGCTGTCCTGCAGCAGGGTCCCGTCCAGCCACCAGCGAGCCTCCGGCCCACCCGCTCGAGACACCTCGCAGGAGAATGTGGCCACCTCCCCCGCGAAGACGTCCACGTTCTGCAAGCCACGCACCAGGCACAGCGCTGCCTCTGCACGACAGGGCGAGAAGGAGGGCCCGGCCGGGCGCCCGGGTCACAGGACTGGGCCACTCCAGTCCCACTGATGTGGGGCTCACTGATGTGGGGTGTGGCACCATCATGGAGTTGGCCTTTGTCCCTGGCTGCGGGCACGCAGCTCCTAAAACCCTCTGGATTTCCCCGAGAGAGTTGGATCTCCTGTTATGCAGAATGAGCCCCTTTGACCTCACCTGAGTTTATGCTATGAGGTGACTCTGCGGGGCTTCTACATTGGCCACCGGAAAGACAGAAAGTTTAGAGGCCTGAAAATCTCCACCCTACCCCCCAACCTCCAGGAAACGGAGAGGGACCAGAGGTTAACTGTGCTCTACACAAACCCCTTGGGAGGCTGGACGAGGTCCCAGGCTGCGCACACAGAGGGGCGGGAGGACGGCCCACCCCCGGGAGGGCGTGGAGGGCTGAGCCCACTGACCCAGTCCCTCACCCCGAAACTCTCTGCCATCGGCCGTTCCTAAGTTGTGTCCTTTATAATGACTTGCTGCACGCAGGTGCTTCTCTGAGTTCTGTGAGCCGTCCTAGCAAATCAATCAGACTCAAGGAGAGGGTAGCGGGACCCCTGATTTACTAGCAAGTCAATCACACTAGAGGAAGGAGCAGTGGGACCCCCAGTTTATAGCTACTCAGGCAGCAGTGTGGGTGGCCTGGGGCTTCCGCTTGGCGTCTGCAGTGGGGGCGGTCTCGGGGGGCTGGCTGGGTTGGTAGCCTGTGGGATCTGACTCTAACTCCAGGTAGAGGTGTCAGAATTAAACTGAGTTGTGGGCGCCCAGCTGCAGTCTACAGAACGCTTAGGAAAACCTGGCGCACATCTGGTCGCGGGAGTGTCTGGTGCTGTTACAGCTCAGTAGGAGGGAAACGGTGCATGTGCTGTTCTCTAGACCTGGTGTCCGAAGAGGGCCTGCTAGACTAGCTCTGAGGCTAGTCACCGGGGCCACCTGGACCGGCAGGGTGGCCTAGGGTTGGGGTCTAGAAATCCCACCCTGATCACAGCAGGAGACTCAAACCAACCCACAGTGAGCCCACAGAGTGGCTCGGCCCCAGGCATAGCCCACACCCCTTCAGGACCCGCCTGGCTTTACCCACAGGAAGCTGAAGACCTGCTCGTTCCTTCTCCGAAGGCGGAATGGACGGCCCCAATCTCCGTGCCTGGGGCTCTTTCTGGCATTCGAGCCTTATCTGACCCAGCGTGGGGGGCAGGGAAGGAGAGGCCACAGGGCCTGCCACTCTGGGAGGGTGGGATGGGAGCCCTCCGTCCCTGGGGGTGTGGAAGCTTACGCTTCTCCCCTCTCGAGAGAGCACTTTGTCTAGATGTGCTCTGCGGTCCCCTTGGCTCTAGGCCACCAGGGCCCAAATACCAAGTGGCAGCTGCTCCCTGCCGGCCTCACACAGCAGGGCCTGAGCCCAGGCGGCCCCCGCGGTGTAGCTGCTGCCTGCCCTGTGCCCCCTCCAGTCCCCCTCTATCCCACCCACCTCTCGGTGGGACCCCCAGGCCACTGCTGCTCACAGACCTGTGGAGAGAGGAGGACAGAGCCAAAGGCTTCTTCCACCACCGGCCGCCCTGCACCCTGCTTGCCTCTGAGCGCGTCCCCACGCCAGCCCGGGAGCCTCCGCGTGAAGACAGACAAACCGCCCACAGCTGGCAAAGCCTGGACGCCGTTACTCCGTGGGGACGAGGGTGAGAGGTGGGCAGGAGGGGAGCCCTCACGGAGATGCCAGCCACACACCAGGGCAAGGCGGCCCTGCGCCCCCCCCCCCCAGGCTGTCCGCTGGAAGGCAGCCTCTCCACTCCGGCTCAGGCGCCCCGCCCCCACCCAGCACCAGCCCCCACTCTGCCCCGGCTATCTTTAGCAAGGCCACGTCTGACTGCCACCTCGTCCTGCCCCACCGCCTCTTCACTCTCGTCTCTAACACGCTCCCACGCTCGCCCATCACACCCCCGGCCTCGTGCCCATCCACACGGCCATGCCGGGGCCTGCCCCCGAGGCCACAGCCAGGCATCCGACGTGAGCCGGCTCACCCAGGCTGGGAACCTCGCCAGAGGGGGGCTGAGGCCAGCCCAGTTCCACGCTGCCCCTGCACAGCTGCCCACCCTAGTGACCACACCAGGCCCTTCCTGCCCTGACCCTGCTCAGGACACCTGGAAACTCTCCCTCCCTCTTCGTCACTCAACTCAAGGGCACTGGCATCTGGAAACATCCCAGCTCCACAGGCCACAGAACTGACTTCATCCATCTACCCCCGGAGACTTGAGGGTAGGGGTGGCCCCTGGGATGCAGGACACACTCTCTCCATGTGCAACTCCCCAGCTGAGTGGGGGCTCCCTGAGGGCACACTGCGGCTGGACCATCTTGAGGTCCAGGACTTGGCAAAAGGTAGGGGCTGTGTTCAATGTTGAATGGATAGCAGATGAAGAGTGGATGGAGGGTGGATGAATAGATTGTGGATGGTAAATAGATGAATGGATGGGTGGATGGATAATCAATGGCAGATGAATGGTGGGTGGATGGAAACGTGGATGGATTAATGGATGGATGGTGGATGGTGACTAGATGAATGGATGGGTGGGTGGAAGGGTAGATGGATGGATGGATGGTATACAGGTGAATGAATGGATGGTGAACAGATGGATGGAAGGTGACGGATAGATGGATAGATAAAAAGGCGGATAGGTGGATGGTGTACAATATGGATGGATGGATGGGTGGATAGATGGCTGGTGGACAGGTGAATGAGTGGATGGGTGGAAGCGTGGATGGATGGTGAACAGGTGAATGGATGAATAGGTGGATAGATGGTGAATGGATGAGTAGATGAGTGAATGGGTGGATGGGCAAATGGGTGGATGGACAGATTGCAGATGGATCAATGTGTGGGTGGATAATGGATGGACAGGTGGATAGACAGTAAATGGACAGATGATGGATGAATACATACGTGATGGATACATGAATGGAGAGTGGGTGGATGGATCATGGGTGTGTGAGTGAATAGATGGATAAATGAATGGATGATGGGTGGATGGGGGCACCAGTTTGAGCCCTAGGAGCAGACAGCAGGAGAGGAGCACTCAGGCAGAGACGACCAGCTCCAGGGGCAAAGTATGACCCAAACTGACGGTTCCTGAAATCCTGTTTGTGCGCTTGCCCAAGTCTGCACATGTATCACAGGCATGCTTTTGCTCCTACACTTTTGAGCCTGTCGGGGGGGCTGATAGCATGTGAACACGGATGTGTGTGCACGTGTGTGTATCTGTGTCATGGGGGAGGCGTTTGGAAGGCAGAAGTCGGAAGACCCATGGCTGCTGGGCTCCCCATCTCCCTCCCCTGATCGAATCCTGGACAGGGCCCCCCCAAGCCCTTGGAACTTCTCAAGGTGATCGTCACCAGCCCACCTAAGTGCCCTCTCCAGTCCATGGCTTTAGTGGCCAGGGGTTGGAAAACTGCCAGCCCCAGACACGGTCACTGCTGGAGTCCTGGGTTCTGCCCCCACCAGCTGCCATGGGTGAGAGGCTGTGGTGCCCAGGAGGCAAGGGCCTCCCCGGGCAGAGTGGCCAGGCACGGGAGAGGCTGCCCACCTGTGACCTTCAGCTGGGCCTCAGAGCTACACGAGCCCACTTGGAAACTGATGGTTCCAGCATCCTCGAGGGTGACCTGCAGGAGTACGGAGAGACATGCTTGGCCCTGGCAGACCCATCCTCACTGAGCAGGGGCCACCCATCTGGCAAGCCCCCAGCAAGAGGGGCTTATCACCTCCCCAACCCAATCCCCTTGGAAGACCTTCCCGAATGGAGCTGGTGCCAGGTGGAGGCAGGTCCCAGGAGCCCCACCTTGTGCAGGGTGAGCAAGTAGAGGTTGTCCGGCTCCACCGTGATGTCGTTCATCTCATTGGCCTGCAAGGGTACCCCACCCAAGGCCCAGCGGGGCTCCTGGCCGGAGGCCCTGGACAGCCGGCACCAGAAGCGGGCGTCCTGGCCCTCACTGAGCTGCACATCCCGCAGGGGCTCCAGGATGGTCACCTCGGGGGCTGGACACGGGAGGCACGGGCATCAGCCTTGGTGTCTGGGATGCCCCCTCAATCGGCAGAGCCTCCATGTCCCTGGGGTCCACCCCCAAGGACCCCCACCCCCATTCCCAAAGACAAGCACATGGGGGCCTGTTTTCAGCTCCCAACTCCAGTTCCTGGTAGAGCCTGCAGTGTGGACTCTGATGGCTGGTGGGTGAGTGAATGGAAAGATGATGCATGGATGGATGGATGGATGATGGATGGATAGGTGGATGGATAGTGAATGGATGGATGGTAGAGGGAGGATGAATGGTAGATAAATGGGTGAGCTGTGGGTGGATCACTGGATCAATGGATGGATGGATGGTGGATGGGAGGATGAATGAATGGTAGATAAATGCAGACAGAGGACAGATGCCACGTGGGTCACCAAGGAGGCGCTGCGCACACTCGGGAGGCAGAAGGTGATGACATTGAGACAAGCGTATAGAACACTAAGGTCAGTTTCTACAGGACCGACACGTGGTCTTTACCCTTGACGGTGAGCCAGTGGCCGAGGTCCGCTCTCCTGCCACAACGACGCACGGAGTAACTCCCGCGCATCCGCGCACGGCCAGGCCACGAGTCTGAGGCCTCAGTCACACGTGGTCTCGTCCTGCCTCAGGCGTATCTGTCTTCCAGTCTTGAGGCTCTGGGACCCTTCCTCCAACTCCACGGGGGACCACTGTGCTCAGGGCTTTACACTGTAGTGTGGCCATCTGGCCCCTCCGGTGGCCTCTGCATTCCTCAGACCCCTTGTGAACTTGGCGGGCAGGGGGTGGGTCAGGAAAGACATGGGCACGATTCACCACCCTTCTGACACACAGAAGACACGGGACGTGGGCATCAACTATGACGACAAGACACAAAACCCACTGGACATGATGCCACTCCCGGCTGTACACCACACGGCCATGGCCTCCGCTCAGGCCTCACATGTTAAATGAAGTGTGGCTGGCAGAGCTGTGGA